AGAAGCCGCAAGCGCAAGGCACTAGATGACGCCTTTAGGAGTCTCATGGGCAAGCAGATTACGTTTAGTTGACGCCGTCTGGCTTTGACGCCTCATTGGTTCATCCACCCCATTCAATCCCAATTTTAGACAAAAGAAGGAACCCCGGAGTCTCGTATTCGACATCCCCGATAGCACTTACGTCTAGGCGTCTACTGAAGGATGTGTAGCTTGTATTCCTGAACCATTCCAGGCGCATCCGCATCGGCATCCGCTCTTTACTGAGAGGCTTACTGGGTGGCTGAAACTCGTCATCACGTAGCCGCGATTCATAGCTCACAAGCTCTCCCATGCGTGTCAACTCGGACTTTGACATGCGAGAAAGGGGGGTGCGCTGACGACTTGTCAAAGCCAAAGGCGACCTCCGCAAAGGACTTACCTCTCTCTCTCTCTCAGCAGTGGGAATGTTACATTCTTTAGCCCTGCTGTTCAGCTTCGTGGTAGACTACTTGGCAATCATGCTTGACGCAAAACTCGTCGCGGCTTTGTGCTGTGGACAATCCGATAATCGAAAGTAGCGGGCCTAGTTGCACCCTCAAATTGCCGACAGCAGTATCACCGGCACTTCGTGCCTGTCACGACTACCATCGTCTTATTACTACACAGTCGCCCTGTGGGGATCACTCGGATCATCACCGCCCAGATGTCCATGTATCAATAGCACCACGCACCCCTCAATCAATACATTGAACCATAGGAACACTCTGTGTAGTGCTGTTACATCGCTCCAGCTACCTCACACTGCAACTATCCGTACAGGGCTGGAACAGGTCCATTTCACCCTTTTGTCGCCCTCTTCTCCTCCGTCATTCGCCCGGCACTAGAGGCTCTCGACCTAACCTACCCCCGGTCAGCCCGGACCACACCGGATGGCTTCCCCGTCGCTCCTTTTTCGACCTCCTGCATTAGCTCCCGCGCCGTCCCAGCATCATGGTTCTTAGAACGCGTCTCTTACTCCCCGTGGAGGGGGAAGGCCTCTCATTCACGCAACCAGATTTGTCGGACCGTGCGATTAAGCTCTTTTCTTCTTGGGGCTGGCTTAAGAGTGCATCGAGATGGGCAAATTAGCAAACCCCTTGGATGCTGCAGGGGTTGGTGGACCGCCAGGGATTGGTTTGTGGTCAATGGACATGAGCGATCCAGAACACCACCATCGTCGGATCGGAACCTGGGGAGGGGGGGACAGACGGGGTTGTCGAAGATCAGATGCACGAAATGAGTAAACCGATGATTCGCAACAACCGCCAGGGGTTCCCTCGACGTCAAAGCTGAACGGCGTGGTTTATACTGGGCGAATTTGCCATTGCGGCTTAGCGGCTCAACGGCACCAAATATGTTGTGGGCGCGCGGCTGGCTATTTGACGAAATCAGGGTCTGCCGTCCTCCGGTCATGAGGGCTAGTCGTCACTTTGTAAGAACCTTTCCACCTGGCGTCCTTGGTTCGAACGCGTTTGCGGAAATCCGCTCTACTGCAAAGATGACGGTGCTAGCTCGCATAGCGCTACGACGTCCAAACCTCACCGACTGTGCACCATCTCTTCGCTTTATCACGCCCAGTCCGTCCTATCCCCAAGACCTAATGGACGATCGTCCCAAGCAACTCACATGGTCTCGCCCTCCTGCAAGCCAACCGTCCTACGCACGGCTTAGGCTATCAAACCCTGTGCCTATACACTAGACATTCCTTTCCGTGCCAGCCCCACGAAACTATCCTCCCCTGACTTGAATTAGCACGAGGCGGATAATGCAGGGGGCCTTTTGCCTATATGCCTATGAATGCGGTATGCTTGCCTCTCCCGCGTGCGCCCGAGCAAGAGGATCTACAGACGGCGCCAGAACATCATTTTCGGGGCCCCCACTTCCCTTCTTCGATGGCGCGCTTCCAGGGGGTGTTCAAGCGTTCTAGATTCGATACTCCTACGACGCAAGCCTTGGGGCGCTCTTGACTCGTGGGAAAGCGGGCGCACCGGCTCGCGGATTGGGAAAAGGAGTCTACGCTTGTCACGATATCGAGATCGTGATTTGAGTAGGAGACGCAGAATGGTGCAAGAGGGTTCGGGTACTACATCCCGAAAGGACGTCATATCCCTTTCCTCCCCCCTCCTTCTCACGCTTTCTTTCCTTCCCTCCTCTCGGAGCTGTGCCAGGGTGGTATTGGAGTTCAAGCCGGCGGGATACTTGTGTTCCGACCCAGGAAATAGAAATGTTCGGGCACGGTGGGTTGGGGAGATCATCTGGACGCCCGCGGACGCCCGCGACATGCTCGATATATGGTTTAGCTCCCCTCGTTTCCTCCAAGTAGAGTCCAGAGGTAATCCTTCTTTTTTGCCATGACGGACGTCGTAGGGTGCGCGGGGCAAGTTCTCTATTCGGTGGTATTTCCGGTGTGAAAGAGGACTGTCCGCTTTGATGGCACGTTGTGAGTTGTCCATCATGGCGTACTGGGAAGGTAATACGCATAAGGTAGGTAGTTAAATTGTTGCGAATAGGGAAAAGGGGGTTGCTTGCCAACTGTTAGAAACGTCATCAAACGAGAAAGATTATCAATTTGAGTTTCGGGAGTTGAGGTGAGTGGCGGATGGGAGACCGCCTCCCCGCACGTGAAGCCAGTCGCTGGGGGCCTGACACATCCCGGAGGTTCGACGTTGCGGCCGGGTCCGGAGGGCGCGGCTGATCCGGGCTGCCGAGAGAACGGGGTCCGGAGGAGAGCTTGGTTGACGTCTGTTCAAGCTGTGACGATATCTGCCAGTTGTCAGTTGTCATCTAAGACGTGTTCCTTTGATAACCTCAAGTTATTGATGACCCCGTAAGGACTCTTGGAGTACACATTGATAAGCTGTCGAGTATAACAGCTTGGTAGAGGTGCTCAGATGGATCCGGGTTCTCCCGTGAAAGAGTGACTTATACATGCCGCATGTTGTATGGGCTTAGCTATGACAAGCCACTGGTATAACTGTTGACCTCCTATTCACACTATTCATTGGAATTCGCAACGTGATCAATGCGAATATTTCTCTATTACTCAGAGTGAAGTTATCGGTGTTGATTTCCCGATCAATAATACTCGTCAAGCAATTTGAGATTCGAACAAATGAGATACGGACAAGCGGTGCAATAAACCGAATCAGCTTACCTATTGTGTATGAGCCATGAGCTGCGTCTCAACCGCTTCATATCGGAGCATTCCAGTTGAGGATTGACGGTCAGAAACTTTGACTTTTATTTCAGGTCATCTACATAAGCCCTTCCCATCAGAGATAAGGTGCAAATTTGGCTTTTTAGAAGCACTGCACTCCATGGAAGAGAACTACGATGTTAGGATTAAACCACTGTTAGATCTCGCGAATTTCTAGGACACTAGATGGACTTTTTAACCAGATTCTACAATTATCGGAGCTCCACGTACCAACACACTCTCCCCACCTCAAGCAGATTATGCTGAAGAGAATACGTGGACGACAGTGACGTGAAGACATAGACGAGTGTACGTCTCTGTGGTTCAGCCCCGTGATTGAATGTTAGAGACGACATTTATCATCTCTACAGGTGACACAAGAGCCGATCCACCAGCCAACGAGTCAAGAGACTACTACATTCGCCTCAGATTCGAGTGGAGTGCTTGGGAAGACAAGTATCGCCCGGGCCTGTCTACCACTTATATACTTATTTAAGTAAGGCAGCCTGCATAGTCTAACGGCAACGGGGAGAAGTCGAAGGGAAGATCAACGACTTCGGCAATGTCGTGAAACCAGCTAGTCATCTCGGCCTTGGAGGCAATATGAACGTCCGAGGGCGCCGGAAAAGCTGTTAAAGACAGGGCCATTGAGTTTATTCTTCTTGGCGCTGCCAGACTCGCCCGTCTGGTCAACGAACTATTGGGTCTCACTTCTGTAGCTCCTATCAAGTTCCAGTTCAATGAAGACTAAGTGGTTACGAGGCGTTGTCAACAGCAGATCAACTCAGGTTTAGTAATTCAAGTTTGAGCGTAATCTTGAAGATTCCAACGCTCGCCGACTATTGAAATCAGAAAGGAAGCAGAAACCAGGCTATTTCTCTCATGCCACCTACTGGTTTGCAACAAAGGTTTTGGGACCGAGCTTGAGTGCTTTCGTTCTTTCCATGCTCATTATACATAGAGGATCCGTTGATAACACCGCACAGGCGCCTAGACCAGACGCGTGACTGTTGTTTCGACTGGGACAGCTGATCGTGACACTGAGCCGGACGTGGGGTATGAAAGGATATCACCATGCCACAACCTATGGTTGACACGGAAGAATGTGAATTCATCCTAGTTACTCTAGTCGTCTTACCTCTCGGATACTGTAGCTGCTCTGTATCAATCGTCCCTGTACTTACTAACCTAAGTACCTGACATCATCCTACAATGTCTTGTGGATCGCCCGCAACGCGGTCACACCTCGGGCATCTATCGCCATGAGCTTACACAAAGAAACTGCTATCAACTACTTTCTTGGCCTTCATCTGCTCACACTTCCACCTTTCACTAAGCTGAATACGCGGAATGGACGTCACTGATGGGAATAGATACTAATCTTTCTCCGTAGAATATCAGCGACTAGGTATACAAGTTGTGGCTGGTTCCTAGTGAAGCTGGAACTGGTGACCAGGACGAGACCAAACATGTCCGGCTACAAAGGAGTCGTGACTTATTGAATACGTGATTTACCAAAGCGTGTCATTATAGGTTTATCTAAGTCAAGATTTCCTATGTATATGTCTCTTGAACAAAACTTCAAGTGCCATAGAGCGAGGGGACATTAGGAGTTTAGAAACGAGATTAAAAGAAAGAAACGGAGGTGTGTAAAATGGCCATTGGATCAAGTAGTCTTCACCAGTGTTCAAAAGTTTTCAGCAGTGATAGTTTCATTAAGTCATATCGCTATGGTACAGCTGTACTAGGTATCATTCTACTCAATCTTCCACGTTCCACAAACCCTTTACAATCCGCGATGAGTCTCCTGGTGAGAAGGAATCGAGTTCCGTCTTCCGTGGTCGCCGTGGACACCGCCGTGCGCAGTTTCGGGCTCACCAATGTGCTTAGCCAGCACGGAGGGAGGAACCTGAGCGGCGTCGGTAGGGTCCTTGGCGTGGCCAGTCGTTCCAGAAGTTCCGGTGCTGGGTGCGTTCGTCAGCCACCCGTCATCCCGAATCGTTCTCTGCGCTCGTTGTGCAAAATCGCTTACTTGTTGCCACCAATGGTCTTGCTACCATCGAGATCGGAGTCGACTCTGGGATCGGCCTTGTTCAGGAAGTCGCTCTTGTGAGGGCCGGCAGTGCCGGGGGCGGGACCGGTGGTGCCGCTGTGGGTGTTGGTGCCGACGCCGGTGTGGCCGACGCCAGTGTGAGCACCAGTGTGAGCACCAGTGTGAGTGCCAGTGGTGTGAGTGCCGGTATGGGTGCCGGTGTGGGTGCCAGTAGAACCGACACCAGTACCGACGCCAGCATGGCCGGGGGCGCCGCGGTGGTCGCGGTCAGAGTCGATGCGAGGGTCGGCAGCGTTGGCGACTCTCGAGTTGTGGGTACCGTGAGTGCCGGTAGGATCATCGTAGCCGGTGACGTTGGAGCCCGTGAGGCCGCCGGTGGTACCGGTGTGAGTGCCGTGGGTGCCGTGGGTGCCAGTAGTACCGTGGGTACCGGTCAGACCGGAGGTACCGGTGTGAGTGCCGTGGGTGCCAGTGGTACCGTGGGTGCCGGTCAGACCGGAGGTACCGGTGTGAGTACCGGTGTGGGTGCCAGTAGAGCCGACGCCACCAACGCCAGCGCCGCCGATGCCGGTGTGGCCGGGGGCGCCGCGGTGGTCACGGTCAGAGTCGATGCGAGGGTCGGCAGCGTTGGCGACTCTCGAGTTGTGGGTGCCGTGAGTACCGGTGGGGTCATCGTAGCCGGTGACGTTGGAGCCTGTGAGGCCGCCGGTGGTACCGGTGTGGGTGCCGTGGGTGCCGGCGTGAGCACCGGTGGTGTGGTGGCCGGCGCCAGCGGGGTTGCCGGTGAGGCCGCCGGTGGTGTGAGTGTTGTAGTCCTTGGAGTGGTCAGAGTCGACGCGGGGGTCAGCCTTGTTCAGAGCGTCTGACTTGTGACTGTGAGGTGTTAGATGAGAGAACTTGGATATGAGGGAGAGAAGGTGAAGCTTACGGGCCAGCAGTGGTGGGGGCAGGACCATCGTAGCCGCCAACGCCGGTGTGACCGGCGTGGGTGCCCGTCACGTTGGAGCCGGTAAGGCCGCCGGTGGTTCCGGTGTGTGTGCCGTGGGTACCAGTGTGGGTACCGGTGGTACCAGTGGTACCGGTGAGGCCGGAGGTGCCAGTGTGGGTTCCGGTGTGAGTGCCGGTGGTACCAGCGGGGTTGGCGCGGTGGTCGCGGTCAGAGTCGATGCGGGGATCGGCGGCGTTTGCTGCGCGGCTGTCGTGGTGACCGTGGGTTCCCTCAGGCTGCTCGTGCTTCTTGTCTGAAGACAGAGCGTCCTTGACCTTGTTGACAATGGAAGACATATTGGGCTTTCTTGTGATGTGGGTATCAAAATGAAATCAAATGAGTTATGAAAGAGGTGGTTGTTTGTAAATTGTTGTGAGTGTTGGTTGTTTTGGGGTATCTTGTGTTATGATGAGGAGAGAAGAAAAGGAATGTTGAGACTGAGGAGGAGAGGTTCTGGAGGTTATATAGAATTAAAGTCCATCGAGAAGCTGCATCTTCGAAACTCCTTTCCGATGGTAGATCATACAATTACGATCCCGATCCAGCAAGCAAGCCCCGTGGCTGGCCCTTCTCTCGCTCGCCTCTGTGACCACCCTTGCAACGCCTACGCTGTGACTGACAACAATCAAGGAACCTGCATCACCGTGCCTGCTTGCCTACTTGTCTAGGCCAGTCCAGCGCCAATGCCCATACACACAGTACATGCCGGCATGGGTTTGGTTTGGAGGAGTAAAGGGCCGCAGAGGTGAGGGACAGCTTGGGCACTTACTTCATACATCGTCATAGGTCTTGGACGCAGGTGTCTCAATCGGGACTACAAGCTTCAAAAACCGTCAGCCAGTCGGGGTGAGGCGTTGGGCCCCAGGACTAGCATACGTCGGTAGTGCGGTACATCTGCTCCGGAGGGCAGACCGGGGTCCCTCCCCTACCCCCAAGCCAATGGGGAACCGGTGAACTAGACCCAGTTTGCCATGGCTGGATGACGACCCAGAAGCATTGTCTGGCGTGACACTGCGCTTGTTTTCGTCAAGCCTTTTGCTTTGCTTCAGAGGAATCTCCGGTTTGGCATGAAAATGAAGGTACAGAGGTACACAGGGTACCCAAAGAGGGCTCCCAAAAGCTCGACAGCACGTAACATGTCAAGGATTCGTCGTCATAGGCCAAAGGGACGGCGGGGTCACGACGGTACGAGAGGGATGAAGATCTGTGGCTGGTGACGTTATAGGGCTGCGAGATGGACAGCAAATGTGGCGAAGGCGAAATGGAGAAGAATTGGGGCCGTGTGTTATTTTGGCTCGGACTGGAGTAGCTTTTTGGTAGGTAACCTGGAAAAGCATGTCTCTTTTCGTTCAGGTACGCTACCACACGTGGTGGAGGAGGGGAAGCTTCAGAGAAATCAGAAACTAGGTATCTAGTCGTTCCGCCTGGCGCTCCTGTTCGTCTCTCCGTTTCGTCCAAGCGTGACAGAGTTGCCAAGCTGAGCTGGCATCTGACTGGGGTAGCGCAGCGTTGGAGACAAAACGAGAGACGGACTGCGCCGCCGCGCGTCGTGTCTCACAGCCTATTCGGCGAGAAAGTCGCGAGTTTTCCAACTGCTACGAGCCCATTGAGTGGGAGTCGTGAGACATTGGAGACCTCTCGATGAGTACGAATAGGTGAGGTACCTACAACCTACGGGCCAGAACCGGGCAAACGCAATTCGTGGTGGCGGTTGTACATACGAGGGGAAAAGACGTGATCCGAGCTTTCTCGTTCGTGTCGTGTTCCTTTGGGGGCGAGAGGTCTGAGAGGTTGAGAGGACTGGAGGTGCAGAAGCCGTAGTGGACTTGTGGAGTGATGTGACATGGATCGAGGTTTGACGTTCCCGAAAGCGTATGTATGGGCTCCAGCCTCGGCCAGGGATGGGATGTGATATCCACAGAACCAAGGCAACGGAAAGGAAACCCCCTCCAATGACGCAGCATAAAAAGCTCGGCTGGACGGCCCCGCGTGTGGCGTTAGCTCGATGATTGGACAGCCGGACTGGAGACCGGAGATGATGGGAGATTGTGATGTGGCTAGTAACCTCTGATCCTTTTCGTCCTTTCGTGTTTTCTGTTGTGAGATTGTGCCGTAGTGTGGCGTCACCTACTCCATAAAATGCGGTCATCGATGCTCAGCTCCATTTGAAAGCCCGTAGCACTAGCTGGGCCTGAATGCCTGCATGTAACCTGCTCTGACCTTTTTCCTTGACCCCGCCTCGACGCGGCTTTGCGGGGCATTACGCCATGCGGCTCTCATCGGACAGCCAGGAGGAAGCCGGAGGAAGCGTGAAGGAGGGTGTGGTGGGAGGTAGGCAGAGTGAGACACACAGAGACTTGTCCTTCCCAGCACATCTCTTACTGAGCCCAAGTAGTTCGACCTATTCTTTTAGTCAGTCTTGCTGCCTTTTACCCCTCCATGTGTCTCTGTTTGTTTCTAGGGTGACAACACAGAGACCCGAACAACATGACAATCCCCGTCCTGGTTGGGAGATCCTGACAAGGAACCTGGATGCAGAAAACCCAACCGCCCCTTGCCGCCGTGCCGCCCTTACATTTTCGGCCCCTCTCATCGAAATAACCTCCAGAAATAACCCTGATAACGTACCTCCAAAGAGAAAGATCGCCGGGGAATTCGGTCATACCAAAGGCATATTTGCGCAATTCCCATCCTGCCACACAGTCACAACACTTCAAGCCTCGTAAACTTTGCCGCCGTTCCTTACAGTGATCTGCCAAAAAACAAAACTCCTTCTGCAAAGAAACCCCCGCACTAATTAAGTCATCTTCTTTTTGGGGTATGCGTGACCTGTTTTTTTGACGCCAAGCTAGTGAGAAAGAAGCAAAAACACGCTGGTCTTCCCGCAAAGTCTGGCGCGGCGCCCCTCCTCTTCAACCACACGTTTTTACGAGACGAGCCAAAAGTTCGAGAGCTCTTTAGCCATGGTAACTCGAGGAGAGAGAGACAGTCTAGTCCCAGTTGGAGCTAAAGCCCAAAGGTGATACGGGCAACATTACCTAGTTCGAAAGCGGTCTGGGGCGGGGGGGGGAGGATAGAGTAGAGTCCAGACGTCGCGGGTCCCGTCCTCTGGGATCGCGGATCGTGAAATTTTAGAGAGATCTCACTTATTGTCAGGGAAGAGCTTCGGAGGCGGGATCCTACGTAATTTCAATTGCAAATGGTACAATGCTCTCGATCCAATGGTTCCCGGTGTCCCCATCCCAACCCCGCTCACGGGAGCAGCAAACTGCAGTGGCTTGGGGGTTTCGAACGAGGTAAGAGTATGGGGAAACCTGCTTGACGCCTCGCGCCGCCCTCGAGACACGGGCCACGGTCTGTGGTTCTGTCTCGTTCTGGAGCGGTCCAGAACTGCATATTCCGTTGGACCACCACGGGCCATCAGTGATCAAGGATCACGAGGGGCTCTTCTCAAACGCTTCTTCGCGGAGCACACGTCTGTTTTCGGAACGGCCAAAGGCGGTGGCCGCGGCGTGCAGCGTAGGTAAGGTGAGAAGAGACCCAGGTTCCCCAGGAGGCGGTCAGTAACCGAGGCTGGGCTTTCGCGCTGTTGGTGAGATCTTGGCAAGTCTGGTTTGTCCGCATCCCTTCATCTCGCTTCTAACGGCTCTGCCATCTTCGTTTCTATTCTCTGGGAGCTACTTTGCGGAATTCCTCGCATGGGATGCAGCCCGCCTTGCGGCACTTCTTTGCCTAGTCTTCCCACGTTTGTCTGATCCTTCGTTGCCAATTCACTCAGAAGCTACGTCATTCACGAGCGTTAGCCGTCTCCTAACATCTAGCGTCCGCGATCGCCTGTTGTTTGCTGTATCTCACCACATCCCGATACTTCTCCTAGTACCAGTGTTGTCTCTCATGTGTTAGAGATTGGCCCGCTGTCGCTGTGGTGCGGCCATTGGAGCGGCAATGGGCTAAGAGCTTAGGCTGGTTTGAAGTCGACAACTGGTGCCAGATTCATGGGCCGGATGATCCCACCTTCATGATTGAAATGAGGCCTTTTCGAGACAGAAAGGTTGGCAGTAGTGATGGCGATCCCGCACATCTCACTACTTAAGGGTTTGATGTCAACTTTGCACACTACTGTGTAGGTCCTCAATGTCTAGGATAGATGGCGTGTGCCGCCGTAGGCTCGGTGGTCTATCTAAACAAGCGTCGAACCCCGTTGACTACCAAGTGAGACCGGTCTCATCGAAAATCAAACGGTTCTCTGCCGTTACACACGTTTTCGGAGCTTGTCTCTCGCCGGAGGGGTTACTTGAGACGCATCTACCAACCTAATAGCACCGCTGCAGGCTTGCCGTCGTAGACAAAAACAGATCATCTCAGACATGAGCTGCGAGATCGTCAGAAAGACCTGAATAGGTAGTGTCAGAAGACACCGAAATTGCGTCAATAATGCCAACGTATAAGCTTCGAGCGGCAGAGAGAAAATATAGAAGAAAACCGTCCTTGAGCTGCCACTCGCTTGCCTCTCTCGTGCGACTACCATTCTAACACCAAGGGCTCATTGTTGGGTCCACTTCAAATTCAAGAGACTGTTGATCAACATCGTCACGTCAAGTGGACTGCAGTTGCCAGTCAGCATCCCCAAAACGTCGCGGCACTCATCCGGACTTCCTAGGGCTGCGGCCCCGACGGGAGACCCCACTTGCCCCGGATCGCCTATTTGCCAAGACCGCGGAGCTTTTTTTTTTCCTCGCGCCGGCTGTCGGCAGCCGGATCGGATGGTGATGCTAGACTGATAAGGAACTCTGGTTCGGGAATAAGGTTATCAGGGGTTGTCCATATGCTTTCTGTAGGTTGTGGCTTGACTTGTGGCTGTTATCGACCAGCAGATAGACGCATAAGCACTCATATATCTATTATTTGAGTAGGTATATATATCTAAGTTTGGCCCATTGTGTGGTTACGATTATAGGCCATCATCCCGCTTAGATCCGTTCGTAGAACCAGTGAAGCGTGAGAGAGAAACGCATCATAAGATACAGCATAGGTGTTCGTAAATGTCAGTAGCATTTCATCGTCGACAGGTTTGACAGAAGTGACAGGGACAGGTAAGGAGCATGTGCCAATACCTCGCATGATGAGTCCTTAGCCAACTCCACACATCGAAATGGGATAAGGTCGTGTCAATACGGGATTCGCAAACAAATCAGCTTGTAAGCGGTAACTTAACTCGATGATATTAAGGTAGTTATTTGATACAGTAGGTAGGGTATTATCGGGTATCAGGTTTTCCAGTGAAGAGTCAAGCCATTCTCTCATACGTTCGTAAACAAAGCAAAACAGGAAAGGATAAAAAGTGATGAACCCTCGAACTTCTTCCTCCTTCCATCATCCATCAAGGACGTGGACATAGGACATCATGAGTAGGCAGCGATAAGGATGGGCAACATGATCTCGTTCGTCTCATACAAGACTAGGAGAAACAAGTGCGCCAAGGGTATCAAAGAGTCGTATGGGCGTTCGAAAGGTACGCACACGCGCGCTGCCTTTAGACGCGCGAAGAGCGGTACCAGCGACGGCGGCCGGTGTGGGCGGGGCGGCTGTCGGCAACCGCGGTGCGGCGACGGACCCAGAAAAGGCCGACGAGGGCAGAGGCGAGCCAGACGATGGCGGACAAGAAGCAGAAAGCAATGTTGGCCTTGTTGCGACCGCAGGCGTCACCGCGGGGGCTGACGTTGCTCCAGTCAAAGATGGGACCGCAACCATCACCGATAAGCTGGAGATAGCATTGTTAGTTGTGATCTTGGGAGGTTTGACTTGTGTAGTACAAGGACAGTATATGATGAACTTACGTTGACGAGCAAACCAAAGGCGACGAACCAGAGGATGCTGAGGAAGATGTCCATGGGCCAGTGGATGAAGCTTCCCGAGAAGGGGAGGAGCCATATCAAGGCGAAGAGAAGCGACAAGCTGGCCACCACGATGGTGTAGATGTACCGGCCATTGTCCCACGACGAGGTGTTTTGGGTCGCGTGGAGGTAGGCGCCGGTGATACCGGCTACAATGGCAGCGAACACTAGCTGAGCTCCCCGCAGGACGAACTGCACAATACGGTCGATCGCCATTGTGATTGGTGATTGTGGTTACTTTACAAGCTTAGAAGCTGTTATGAGAGAAGTCTGGAGCGACTTGGGATGATGGGGGGTTTCTCGCACGGAAATGTCTGCTGATCTTGTTGGATGGATGAAGAATTAGAGGACAGGATGGGAAAAGTATGAGATGATATTACTCTATTTATCAACCTCTCCTCCAGGATAGGCCGAAGAAGAGTCGTGCGACACGGACCAGTAGGGAGAGAGTCACATCAGGATGACGATCTGGTGGGAAAGCAGGTTTGGGTAGGTAGGTAGGCCATGGTCCTGGGGGTCTGGCCTGCAGACTTTCTCGTCACCGCCGAGCACAGCAGCCGCGTCTGGATCACGGCTTGGATGTGCCGATACTTTTTGACTAAACCTCTGGGCTTACCCATCTTGTGACAAACGGCATCTCGCAAAGGGCAACAAAAAAGGTTTGCCTAACTAGGAAGAATGTGTAACTACACAAGTCCCGAGACCTTTGCTGCAGGACGGCGGCGGTACACGCGCAGAGTCCCTGCCAAGATACGGTACTTCTTAGGCTCCTCCTCTGCCGGCACCGTAGCACACGCGAGGAAAGGGAGGGAGCGAACAAGGGCGAGACTGAGCTAGAAAAGAAACGTCACCGGGGTTTGTGCTTCGTGGCACGCTGTCGGGAGTCCGTGTTGGCGTTGCTTTCTCTCTCTGCCCAGCCTTGTGAGGTCATCATACTGGGGGCTGGAATGGCCAGAGGAATAGACAATGTCAGGCTAGCATGACTCTGATAGGATGTGGTTGACTACCACCCTGGTCATGAAGTTTGAAACAAGCCTTTCCCGGGGGCCGCGATACTTACGATCCTTGCCCTGCACTGCAGGAAGCGCGGTAATTGCCCCTTTGTCGAGCTTTTTCTTTAGATAGTCGCTGGGTGTTGGCTGGCGGTTAGGCTTGATGGTGTAAGATTGGCGAAATTTCGAATGCCGTCAGCCAATGCGACGGCTTCCTGGGCAAAGGAAAGTCAATTGCAAGGCTAACAAGGCCGAGACCACTAGGTCCAAATACCACGGGTGAAAACAATAATATTCGTGTAGGCTGTAGCACACCGCGGCTTGGGGGGCTCTTGGAAGGATGGAATCAAACCAGCGTGACTTCATCGACTGATGGAGAGGCATTCTGTACCATAATTTCGTCGGATTGAAAGACACAAGAATGAGTAATACTTGCTCAACATCGGGACTCCGGCATCGTCCAGAATGTGACTTACAAGAGGCCGCCCTTCGAATTGGCTTGCGACGTGTGTGGCGATCGCTGTGGCTCAACTGGTTCCAGACTCTCCCAGATCAGCAAGGGAAAAAGCAGGCTTGGGGGCCATTTTGAGGGGGGGCCATCACGCGGCCAGCGCCTTGCGACATGTTTGGCCAGATGTGGCTGATCATTGATGAACATCGTGTCGTTCCAGTTGTCCAAGATGGCACCAAAAACCAGGACTCACCGAACAAGGTGAGAATGACGTCACAGTCACATCCAACATTGTAGGGCGCCCCAACGTCTCGCCCAACCACACAGCTTCAGCCACATCATTGCATCGGCAAGCCCCATGAGCCGTCTCCAACCCGCAAATGAGACCAATCTCTCCTGCCTTAGCTCTGGATGCCCGGTCGGACATTGGTGATTGATTTCAGGACTATTGCGCTTGCTTCTGGTAGCATCGTCTCGTTGTACCGGCGTTGCTAATCTTCATGCGGGCCTCTGGGAGCGCTAAGCGACGCTACCTTTACTAGAATGCCGGCATGCAGGCAGAGCTGGCCCTTTCATTGTTACGTAGGGCCAAGCGCATCTTCGGCGATGGTCCTAGTTTGTAAGATTGAGGGTTTTCGGCTCGATCTGGCGGTGAGTGGATCGCGTCCACGCGTTCGACTAGGGATATGATGTTGTCCAAGACCAGAGATGTGAGCTTTCGTGCCGAGCTTGCCAGAGGAAACCAGCCCAAGGGATCATTGTTGAGCCGGCCACCGCGAAGCTTGGCTCTTCTATCAGCTCATCAGATGGGATGGAAATGCTTCGCATGATCGTGGTGGAGACTCGGCCGAGACAGCAATCGGCCCCGGCGGATCTCTCTCGGTACTTTGTGGGTCCATTGTCGGCTTCTTCTCTATGGGGTCCCTCGGCAACTCCACAAATTACCGGCCCCGCGGATGTCTCGTATCGCCCAGAATCTGGGGTACATCTTGGTCTGGATCTGGAGTTCTGTAGCCATGCACCTGTTCCTAGTTCACCTGACGGTTTTAGAAGCTACAAGTCAGTCTTCAAGTCTCTCAACCGTTCTGACAGCTTGCCAAAGATCATAGTGTCCGAGATACGCCGCCATGAAATCATCTAGCTCGAATACCGGCTTTTTCCAGGAACTCCCGGTTCTGCCGAACCAATTCTTCGATGATGCCAGCTTCCAAAGGGCCTTGAGGCGTACGTACCTTACCCCAGTGAACTCTTTTCGTCCCATGTTGCTGAACCTATCTAGTATTCCTACCCAAGGACATCATAGAGCGTGTCGAAGTCGATATTGCGCAACTAGGCGAGGATGTGCTATCCGACCAAGTCTTCTCCTGGATCACAGACTCGGAGAAGAATAAGCCGTACCTAAAAGGCAACGGCCGTGACTCCTTCGGGCGGCCTACATCCGAGCTGGTTGTCGGTGAAGGCTGGCGTAGCTTGCAAGACTTTGGCATTAGGAAGGGCATCGTTGCTACAGGGTACGATGCTTCACTCGGCTCCTCCGCCCGCGTGGTCCAGTTCCTGAGGATTCACTTATGGGGGAGTTCGGCTTCGAACGTCACCTGCCCATCGGCTATGCAAGATGGTGCCGCTCGGCTCCTGCAGCTTCACCTATCCAGAGACATGGAGTCAACGCAACGAAAGACACTGGAGCATGCACTTCAACATCTCCTGTCACGGGATCCAGCAACTGCATGGACTAGCGGGCAGTGGATGACGGAACGGACCGGTGGAAGCGATGTGTCTCTCACTGAAACAGTTGCCCAGCACATCCCATCCTCGGAAACGGCGCTCGCAAACGCGGCGGAGAACATCCCCCTAGGCCCGTGGTCGATTTCCGGATTCAAGTGGTTTTCCAGTGCCACGGACTCTGCCATGACAGTCCTCCTCGCGAGGACGCAAAGCGGCATCAGTGCCTTCTTCGCACCCATGAGGCGGCACAGCCCTACGGCAGTAACAATGACCGGACGGCCCAAAGGCGCCGCTGGAACGGAGTTGAACGGTGTCCGGATCCAACGACTAAAGAACAAGTCTGGTACGCAGTCGCTTCCCACGGCCGAGCTCGAGCTCGATGGCATGCGAGGTTGGCTCCTAGGCCAAGAGGGCCGCGGCATCAACGAGATCAGCACCATTCTCACGCTCACGCGCATACACTCTGCCGTGGGTGCTGTAGGATACGTGGGTCGGGGTTTGGCTGTCGCGAGGGCATACGCCAAAGTTAGACAAGTCGGCGCAGGAAGGGGTCAGCGAATGCTTTTGGCGGAAAGCCCGCTACATATGCAGACATTGGCGGAGATGACTGGGGAGTATCACGGTCTCATGCTGCTGACATTTTTCACGGCGTACATCTTGGGGTTGGACGAGAATCCTCAGGTGGGCAGATCCGGCCTATCGGATGTTCTTGCTGCGATTACGCCAGACCGGAAACACATTGCGCCCCTTTTGCGTATTCTGACACCGCTCTGCAAGGCCTATGTCTGCAAGAAGTCGATTCCGCTGCTGTACAGCTGTATGGAGGCTCTCGGAGGTGTCGGGTACATGCTGAACGAAGAGACCGAGTACTTGAACATCGCCAGGCTGTATCGCGACTGCTGTGTGCTATCGATCTGGGAGGGAACTACGGATGTCCTTGCAACGGACTTCTTGCGAGCGTTGAAACATCCAAAGGGAGGACAGGAGTCCATGAACGCGCTTGATGCTTTCTTTACCCAGAGCAAAGCGGCAGGAGACCCCAATGGTTGGAAACCGATAGACTCGTGGAATGCAGTCAAGTCCTCCCTGGTGGAAAAGTCACAAGAAGATCTCATCGGGGATGCAAGATACATCCTCTGGGCTGTGGCAGAAGCACTCATTGGCGTGTTGCTCCACGAGGACTATCGAAAGGATGAGAGCCAAGCAGCGTTCGATATTCTTTCCCGCCACCAAGCTCGCTGTGGTGGTCAGACGTTTGGAAAACCGACTCCAGGAACTTCAGATGAGCCGCAGCTTGGTACGCAAGATAGACTGGAAAGGAACTTCACCATCGTCTACGGTAGATCAGACTCAAGCAAAGCGCCTCTCTCAAAGCTCTAAGAGGCTGCAGTTTCCCATAAGCAGAATAATAAAGTTCAACTTGTCATCGTTCAAGCTGATGTGAAAGACGCAAACCAACTCGGGAGATCGCACGTGGCGTCCCGAAAGGTCCGTGATGTGGGCGACTGGTCTATCCGCCCGATCTACACTAACTCGATCCCTATCGATCAACGGCGGGAAGGACAAAGCCGGCCAGCCGGCGGGTTACATCTCCAGACGACGGGCTTGGGCAAATCTCGTACAGACTACGACGGGTAACGTGCGTGTTACCTATTGTTGTCCTGTATCTGGCGGAGCTATGAGGAGAGTACCTGATACCTGGCATGTCATGACTCCTACACCCACGTTGCCATCTGCGATTGAATAGGTCCGAGTGCCGCGTCCCAGGTCTAAGCTCCTTGCATCTTTGATCGTTTGCCGGTGGCAGCAACGTGCCAATGGCAACCTCACTAATTAGAGTTTCTGTCCGGGCGCCCCCCGATTAGCGTTGCTCGATTTGGATTTCTTCGCAAGGAAGCTATCCTTTGTCCCGCCCGCAAGATTCCCCCATGTTCATTGTCTTGTTCGGCTTGGGATCGCCGGAGAGGGGGTTAACCCGGTACTGCAACGAGCTCTTTTTCTTCCTTATTTGTGAGGGGGGATGCCCTTGGATGCTTGTCTCGATCGTCTCTCTGCCCGCTTTCCCCGCCACAGCTTTCCCATCGATTCCAACTCACCATTCACCGACCGAGATGCGGATGCTCGCCATAATCAGCACGAGATCATGTTGGAGCCAAGTCCAAATGTGCACTTGGAAAAAGACGACAGCTATCTGCCCGAAGTCTGGGTGAGGACATCTTTTCGTTTCTCCCGGCGCGAAATCGATATCTGGAGGAGCTAATGGGTATTGTTTGGCAGGCCTGGTACGCCATCGGCGTCTTCATAATCCTCCTGCGATTTGCGGTTCGTATTCGCACCGTCGGGATTCGAGGCTTCCGCGGCGACGACTACTTGGCTTTACCCGTGAGTTACTGGACGAGCAAACCCCCCCCCCCCCCCCAAAATTGGCCTTGGTATTGATGCGTTACAGTATCTCGTGTTATACAGCATCAATGTTTACGTAGTCCAAATCTGCTATTACACAGGGGCAAATATCGACATCACTCCAGACGCAGTGCCGTCGCTATCGGATCACGATGTTGCAGTTCTCCAGCTGGGATCAAAATTGGAGTTCATGTCATGGTACACATACCCTGGTAAGTAACACAACGCATTGTCATATGTTCGAATGATTTGAGATTAATAACGTTGATCAAAGGTTGCATATGTAAGGAGCCTCACCTACACCCAAGTTGACGCACCCGCCTGACCCATAACTCTTAGGGGTCTTGAAGTTCACCGTGCTATTCTTCTACAAGCGTTTAACACTCGGAATACTACGAAGACGGAGTCTGGTCGCATTATTCTGGATTTGCGGAATTTCGTACATCGTCCTATGTCTCACCGTGACACTCAGCTGTCAACCGTAGGTGGCCCCATGACAACCGCGATCGCTTTCCTGACACTTTTGAACAGCTACTCCGACAACTGGCGAATCCGACCTCTACCAGGCCCAGAGTGCACCTTTCGACCGCAGAACTTCTGGATGCTACTGTGGCTCAACGTCCTTACCGACGCCGCCCTCCTCTCCATCCCCGTTCCGATTCTCTGGCATCTCCGCGTGTCCTTGAGGCGTAAAATCGGCGTCGGCATCCTGCTTTCATCTGGCATCTTTGTCATTTCGACTGCCATCGTTCGCGCGGTCACGACCTTGGGCGGTGCGCCGTCCGTCATCAACATCAACCGCTGGGGTTTCCGCGAGACCGCCGTCGGACTCATCACCGTCACCCTACCGGTTCTGAGCCCGCTGTTCACGAGGGCGTTTTGGCGTCGCGGCCCGTACATTCGAGATTACTACGATCGGCTCCGCGGCCCAAGGACGCCTCCTAACAATGCTAGGTTTGGCAATTGGCTGGGGACGATGGTTCTCAAGTACATTGACGAGGAAGAAGGGGATGTTTTACGCAGCTCCAGCGCGGCGAAGCAGTTGGAAGAGGCGGGGTACCGAAGGGAATATGCCGAGCGTGCGGGTTCCTACAATAAAGATGGTGGAGAAGCCTACGAGCTGGAAACGCAGAGCGGCGATACAAGCACGAAAAGTTTGAAGACCATTGAGACGGTATGAGTGACACAATCCTGAGCACAAGGTGGTTAACTGGTAATTTGGCATTGGAGCATTGAGGTATACCCCATCATGAATGACTTTGTATACACTGATACCCAAATGGAGCAACGGGACGGGTTAAGACTGGAGAGTGTGTAGACCAAAAAAAGCAGTTATGCTAATTTGACGATGTTACTACTCATGGCGAAGTCACAGTTTTAGGGGCTGCCAGGGAGATTTCCAACGATCAGCTGTGCCTGGAATGGGATACATTATGATGTGCCTATGAGTGCGCAAGATGCGGATAGAGTGAAAACATATCCTTTCCGTACTTTTTCATCCTGAAAAGAACTCAAAAATCGGGCGTTGACGACTGTAGAGCCATTTTTGGACATGAAAATTGAGTAGAAGTCTCTGCATAACTCATGCTCGCCAGATATTACCCGTCTCAGAGGCGCGTGAAGCCAAGCAAACACTCAGTTTCAAGCTTGACCTCAGAGTGAGACCGTCTTTCAAGATACGCAGTGCAGATGAAACGCCAGCCATGGTCTGCCAACCCGTACGAGTAAAGCGTGTGATGCGAGGAGTATGAAAAATTCGCCGAAGACCCCGCCGGCATCTTGGCCGGCGGGATGGGCTCCGGAAGCCCCATAATCCCGGGCCCCCACGGAGTTGTGGAGTAAATCGATGGCTCATAGTGCTTTGAAGGATATGATTTTCCGATTACTTGTTAATACGGTGTTATCGTTTAAAGGAGGTATACCTTTCTGGTTGCATCCCCCGCATCCTTCAGCGCTGCCTAGGCTTGTGTCACCTAGAAATTTCCCTCCAAGGTGCTAATACCTTCCTGGTTGTCTGTCGCGTCCCGTCGCGTCACTCTTAAACCCCCACCATTCTCGCATCTTGCCCTCACAGCTATGACGCCATGCGATTTATGCGACCACAACCACAATGACCCAACCGGTCGAGGAAAACGCGATAGTAATATCAGATGGCGAGACAGTATCGGAAATCGACGAGCTTCAGCATCCCAGCAATAAAGCCCTTGGGAAACGAAAGGTTGATATCGATTTTGGGGAGAAGGAAGTTTGGGATGCCGATTCCGACTTGGAGCTCCCCAAACCCAAGAAACAGAAGGGGCGGCGCGCCGTAACTGGCAAGGAGAAGAAAGACAAGGCGCAGGGGAAAGGTCGGCCATCCAAGAAGGGCGACGTAGTGAAGATCAATGTCACCGAGGAAGAGGACGATCTAGATGTTGCGGAAGCGCCAGACTACTTGAAAGAACGAAGGAAACAATTCGACCAGAACCGGGAAAGACTGCAGGAGGCAGGGCTCTTGTTACCACCGGACTACTCTGAAGTCGTATTCTCCGAAGATGACCGACCGGAAAACCTCGAGCGGCGTCCCCATTTCGACGAGAGCACAAAGATCAAGCCCTGCAGGCCGTACGAAGACGTCGAGCTCGAGTATTCGGCAGGTATAATACCGGCGTCTATCGCCCAGTACTTACGCGAGTACCAAATCGTCGGCGTCAGGTTCCTGCACCGTCTATTCGTCTACCAAAGGGGAGGGATTCTTGGAGATGACATGGGTCTCGGCAAGACTGTCCAGGTTGCGACGTTCCTTACGGCAGCTTTTGGCAAAACTGCTGACGAGCGGGACAAGAAGCGGCTCAAGAAGATCCGTGACGTGTCTGGTCGCTGGTATCCGACGGTTCTGATCATCTGCCCAGGATCCATCATCGAGAATTGGAAGAATGAGCTGAATCGCTGGGGATGGTGGAAGGTCGATGTTTTCCACGGCGCGGGGAAAGAAGATGTGCTGTCCGCTGCCAGAGCGGGGCGGATAGAGATCATGATCACAACCTATTCGACGTACAAGAATCACAAGAGCCTGGTAAACACCGTCAAGTGGGATGCAGTTGTCGCTGACGAATGTCACCAAATGAAGGAAAGGAGCTCCGAAGTCACCAAAGCAATGAACGACGTGAACGCGCTGTGTCGCATCGGGTTGACGGGTACGGCGATCCAGAACAAGTACGAAGAACTATGGACTCTATTGAATTGGACCAACCCTGGCCACTTTGGCACTCTATCGGAATGGAACACCACCATCACCAGACCACTGACACGGGGCCAATCCCACGATGCGACCTTGAATCAACTGCGGGACGCTCGAACTACCGCGAGGAAGCTTGTCACGAATTTGCTCCCGGGATTCTTCTTGCGCAGAATGAAGACGCTGATCGCTCACCAGCTGCCCAAGAAGAGCGACCGAGTCGTCTTTTGCCCTCTCACGGACCAGCAGCAGGAAGCATACAAGAACTTCATCAGTAGGCCTGATGTCGAACTTCTGCGCACCTTATCCGACCCGTGTGAATGTGGCTCCGGCAACAAGCAAGGCTGGTGTTGTCGCAAAACGCTTGACGATGGCACGGGGTGGCAATCTATCATCTTCCCCTGCGTGACGACTTTACAGAAATTGTCAAATCACCTCACTCTCCTGATTCCAGCTACTGGAAACGAGCAAGATGATAAGCACAAGAGAGAAATGCGCACGCTTCAGACCTGCTGTCCAGACACGTGGAAATACCTCTACAAGAACCGGGACGCTATCATGAACCTGGCCAACCCAGAGTTTTGCGGCAAGTGGAAGGTCTTGAAGAAGCTCCTTAAGTTCTGGCATGACAGCGGCGACAAAGTGTTGGTCTTCTCGCACAGTGTTCGCTTGCTTCGGATTCTTCAGCATCTCTTCCATAACACCAGCTACAGTGTCACATATCTGGACGGGTCGATTAGCTACGAGGACAGACAAAAAGCCGTGGATGACTTCAACTCTGACCCAACTCAATTTGTGTTCTTGATCTCGACAAAAGCTGGTGGTGTTGGTCTGAACATCACTTCTGCGAACAAGGTAGTCATTGTCGATCCTCATTGGAATCCATCGTACGATCTCCAGGCCCAAGATCGAGCATACCGCATCGGCCAAGTCCGGGACGTTGATGTCTTTCGGCTCGTCTCTACCGGAACCATTGAGGAGATTGTCTACGCGAGACAGATCTATAAGCAGCAGCAGGCAAACATCGGCTACACAGCTTCTTCCGAACGCCGCTACTTCAAAGGTGTCCAGCAGGACTCTGAACGCAAAGGAGAAATCTTTGGATTGGAGAACCTCTTCACATACCGCGAGAACCAGCTCGTGATCCGTGACATTGTCAACAAGACCAACATCGCCGAAGCGAAAGCCGGGACCGGTATCGCAATGACCACCGTGGACATGGAGAAGCTCGCTAAGGAGGAAGGCGAGGAGCTGGGCAAGGTGAAGCTAGAGGGTGCGGCGGATGCATCGGAAGACGGCGACATGGGCCAACTCGCAGCCTTCCTGGCCACAAAGACGGGTGGCGAGGAAGCAAAGAATCAACAGGCCAAGAGCGATGCCGTTCAGGCCATCTTGTCTGCGGCGGGCGTCGAGTACACGCACGAAAACTCGGAGGTGATTGGGACGTCCAAGATTGAGGAGCAGCTTTCGCGCAAAGCGGAGATGGCCGCCAGCTCCGATATCGAGGGGGATGGCGACAGCGCGCTGTTTGCGGATAGCCAGGTGTTTGACGCGCAGGCGCAGAATCTCAAGGGCTTCTCGTATGTCTATAACCCGCCAGAGGATGCCATGCGACGGCAGTTCTGCTCCATGGCGCGCGAGTTCGGGTTCGCGACGGCTACGGAGTTTGCGCTGGTCGTCGGCAGCTGGACGCAGGCCCAGAGGCGGAATTGTCTGGAAGCGTTTTACAAGATTCGCGAGGGCAAGTTGTTGGCCGAAGAGACTGTCAAAGCGGAGGAGGCGGCTGTGAGGGACGAAGTCAAGGCTGAGGTGAAGGATGAGCCTAGAACTAAGGTCAAGATTGGGGTCAAGAAGGAGAACCTGACGATAGATGACAGCAGCACAGAGACGGAGGACGAGGACGAGGACGTAAAAAAGGAAGACGACGCGGAAAGGAAGCCGACGGTCAAGGTCGAGAACGGCGGTGGCCCCAAGCGGACGCCGATTTTCATCTACGACAGTGATGATGATGATGATGATGAACTTTGATGGCGTTTGGGCAAAGGCTATGAGATACCCCCCCGGCGTTTGGGATCTTTAGAAAACCCTACTGAGAGTAATATAGATGAGCTTCACAGCCTCGATATCGAGAGTGCTAGTTGGTAGTGAGGATGTTCCGTGGATTTGTGTATGGGCTCTGCTCACACGTAGTGGGGACATTCTGAGGAACCAGTAGGTTTTGAAGAAGCAGTCGCATTTCATAACCAACGCATTTGGAAAGTCGTGAGAGTAAGTAGGCGGATATCTCATTGAGCCATGTGGTTGATTTGATTGGGGGAAACGTGAGGTTTCCCTGCCCGTTTTAGTATGCGATCAATACCCCGGGTATTATATTTTCTTTTTTTGCAAAACCTGTCGTCGACGAAGACATGTATCTAATGAGCCCCATTACTCATGGCCGGTTATCCCAAACAAAATCTCAGAAATCTGAACAGCAAAAATAAATATCAAGACCAATAGAAAGCCATCAAGGCAGCAGACGTCTCCCCTCATTAACTCCCCCCCCCCCCCCTCCATCACTCTGCTCACCGATCAAAACTTATCATCAACCCCCTGGGCGATCTCAATCGCCTTCCTCTCCCGGTTGTAATCAACCCACCACCGATGACTCTCTTCCGTCCCCGTCCACTCCCCTGTGACGGCATCAATCTCGTCCCACGGCTTGGGCGCCAAAATGTAATGCACATTCTTCACCTCCTCGTCCCGCCAAATCTCCCCGTGCACCCCGTCCCACCGCAGCGTCTTGAGCGCATTGTACACGTACGGCAGCGCCACCCACCGGCCCCGGTACAGGTCCGACAACAGGCTCTGGTCCGCGAAATCCATGTCCATGGCGCCTTGCTCCATGTGCTTCACAATCTGCCGGAACAGCGCCTCGGACGGGTTCACGACCTGCAAGCCGCCGTTCATGAAGCCCAGGGGGGAAGCCGTAACGGGATCCGGGCCCGTGTGCTGCGCCGTGTCCGGGTCGTTGTGCTGCGTGCTGAACGCGCAGTTCTCGGGCGTCCAGTCGGATGGGTAGTGGGGCTTCCTGAGCGGGTTGCACACGCAGGCGTGGCCGGCGGCGAACACGCGGGTGCTCGGGTTCTTGACGGCCAGGTCGTCGAGCGTCGGGCTCTTTGGGGGGCTGCCGCCGCCGATGGCGGCACCGGGGGTCTGCTTGGCGGCGAAGTCGCCGTCGTCGAGCTCGAGCTCCATGAGCTCGTCCATGTTACGGAGGACGAGCATGTCCGAGTCGAGCTGGACGACGCGGGAGTACTGCGTCAGGGAAAAGGGGGAGAGCTTGCTCCAGCAGTCGTAGAAGCGCGGGTCGTTGGAGTAGTCGCGGCCCTTTGTCGGGAGGAGGTACTCGATGCGCTGGGCGGGGATGCCGCGGCGCTCGAGAGCGGCGAGGCCCTCGGCGGGGAAGGTGTCTGTGTAGAGGGCAACAAGGGGGTAGGCTGAGCCGGACTTGATGAGGGAGTGGTTGAGGGTGAGGAGGCCTGAGAGGTAGTCGAGGTTGGTGATGAGGGTCGTCCAGACTGTGGATTGCGGTTAGCTTTGGTGTTCCTTGGGGGGGACTCATCGTTTGCGACAATGCGACAGCATTGAGAGCATTGGCATGTGAGAAGCAAAGCAGTTGCGGAGGAAACAAGAGGGAAACAATGTTTCAATCTCATATTTTCTTGCGTTGCGACAAGAAAGGTGTAAAGGCGCAAAAAGAAAAGGGATTACAAACCCTTGTCCGACTCTACGGCGCGTTTCCCGTCCGACATATTGGCGGTAGTGGTGGGAGTGGTGGTGTCGGTGATGATCGCCACGATTGCGACTTTTGCCTCACTTTTGCAGAGAGACCTTATCTTTTGCGACTGCTTGCTTTGTATGTATGCGCGCCGCGCGTGCGTATGTGCGTGTGCTTGCGAATCTGGCGGGGCAGATTCCGATGGTGGAGGCGGGGTAGATCTTGAGATAACACGCTCTCTGTCTCTCTCTCTCGAATGCCCAACAGCTTTAGCTATTTCAAACCTAGGGTTATTGTGTCTGTCGGAATCACCAGGATGGTTTACTTGTTTCTGCGGGATCGCGTTTGTTCTTTGCGTTCGTTGGCGTTCGGCGTCTGTTATCGTCAAGCTTCCTTAGTAATGTAAAGCAGGAACATGGGAGGGAGGGAGGAAGGAGAAGAAGGAGAAGGAAAGGAAGAGAGGAAGATGGAGGGAAGGGAACGGGAAAGGGAAAAAGTCGATTCACGAGATTAGCATTTTCACGGGAATGCAAAGTACTCAATGGCAACTGCTAATTTAGTGTTTAGCTAAAGGTACCTCACCTCAGCTTCCCTTCCCTTTCTTTCTTCCTCCTCCTCCATGGGCTAGCTATCCTCGTCACGGGATTACGGATACAAAAAAGTAACAAAGCGCAAGCAAAGGAACAAAATAAAAGCCCCGAACAGACCACGAGTCATCCCCACGATGTGGTATTGGACACGCCCAAAAGGACCCAAAGGGAACTTTTTGCCAAAATAGATCCCCTCCACCTTACGGAGTCTTCGCCGGGCCTGCTTCCTGGTCGTGGCTCACGGTCCTAGGCTGAACCGGGGGTTGGAAGAGAGAAATCGCTGATAAACAGCGACTGATTCCGATCGGCCGTCATATCGATGACGCCATCGTTATTTGGAACATCGCTGATGCCCGAGAGCAGGTACCTGACAGCTTGGGGAAAAAGACTATTACAGCTGAGATTGCTTACAAAACAAAATGGATCCCCCAAGACAAAAGATAGCAAAAAAAAAAAAAAAGCTATCCGTTAACAGAGAGCGGGCCGGAGAGATTCGGACTTACTCCTCTTTGGGTCCTCCACTCAACCTGAACTCTGTCTGGGTGGTGGTCAGAGAGAGGTGAGTCGTCAATGGTGGTTGGTGTGGTTGCGGGTTGAGACGAAAGGGCGTGGAGCGAATGAATGACAACTATCCGTATCCGTTCTTAGCATCTTCTATTCTGTTTTCTCGCATGGATTAACATGGCACAATAAGAAATTGCCCATGTTCATAAAAGAGGGGTCGCTTTCCCATGACTTCCGGCTTTGCCAATGTGTGAGAGTCATAGACTTTGTGGTATCCGTCAGGATATCATTCGTCCTTTCTCAGCTACCTTACCTTAGGTACGGATACTAAGGTATTTGCCCAGAAATAATACAGCAAAACGCACAACACGGCAACTTATCATAGAGTTCATCCCTGCATCTGACACCTCTAACCTAAAGCAACTGCGTTGTTTCCCGGACCGGACCTGGGCAAACAAAGGCTGGGCATCACTGCTGGGCAACTCTCAACAAAAAGATTGCGACATTGTCAGCCCTATTTTCAGCAATGTGTATCCGTCACATTTGTGGTTGTTTAGCTGTTCCCCGATTCCCGACATCCCTTACTTATTCCCATCACCTCATGACGCCGCGCAAGTCACAACCTTTCATCGCTACTCATAGGCAGAGCTTCTTCTTCCCGCGTCGCAAATGTTGTCGCAAAGAGCTTCGGGAAAACCCCCCCAAACCCTTGCAACGAGCTTCGTCAACGCGCAGCTTAGATCGGACGGCGCAACCAATAACAGAGCTCGACGCCCGTTGACGTGCTTTTGCAATCCCGGTGCGCTGCATCCAGCATGTGGGCGCGCGCGCGCGCGCAAGAGAGCGAGGCGCATCTGCTGGTATTTGCATAAGCTACCACGGGCGACGCTACCTTACCTTACCTTACGGAGTAGGTACTTCGTACCCCTCCCCTTCCTCTCCTCACTTGTGGAGAAACATCGGTTTCCGAGATTCCGGCATCACAAAAACGCCGATTATCGTCGAGGTGATTATCTCTGCCCTCGTCAAAAAAAAGCTCGCGCGCTTCGCACACACGCCAGCTCGCCTTACCTTACCTGAGCGTGACCTTCCCCTAAAAGAAGAAGACACATCCCTCGTGACGGTATATAGGACTATATGCCACGGCCAGCTGCGCCAACCAGCTAGCAATCTAGCCATCGCCATTACACAATCCCGTGCAATACCGCCAAAAAGACTCTTGATCATGCAAATGAAGAAGAGAAAGGAAAAAAAAAATTCCTCAGCTCAGAGAAGCCTGATCATGCCTTGAAAAGGAGATCGTAGAACGGTATCGATAATTTGACGAACGTGAGATCTCTGCGAACCTTGTGGATTTAAAAGAGCCTGTCGTCTCCTGGCTAGCCATGGCTCATACTTGACACAACCAGACTATACAGCCAAATTGACCGTACTTAATCTCTTATAATTGATTCTGCGACATCATCATTACATATTGTCACCTCATGGACACTGACTCACAGCAACAGCAAAGGCACTCCATCCTTAGACTCTCTCGTACTGACAAAGTACAGCGCTCAACCGAAGCCCAAGTACAAGCTCTCGTCATCACCTCGGAAAGGACATCTCACTTGTTCAATAAACACATGATTGTCAACATCCTATGGGGACTACGATGATGCAAAAGACGGTCTACAACCCTCTTTTTCGCTGCAACTGCCTGTCTTCCCCAGCCCCCGCCCCCACGAAAACAAAATCAGAAAACCTTTCCCATTCCCAATTCCCCATATCCCCAGGCTGAAGCAATGACAAAAAGAAAGAGAGAGGCCCAAACTGATGATGATTGACCAATTCGCGAAATGCCAACCTGTTTGAAACTCTGTAAGACAAGACGGATAAAAGATGGAAAGTCCTCCTTCGCCAGTCTATGATGCGGTCTCATGCGGTCGTATCGGAACTGTCGGTTTGACGACAACGCCGCAATCAAATTTAATAAACAATTGAGAAAACAAAGTCCGAATGCCTTGTTCCTGGTATCTGGTACATGTAATGCGTGTGCATTTCTTGTAAAGAAAAGATCTCCATAGGAATCTTTAATGCCTCTTGTATTTCTAGTGAAAGAGTTAGTAAGGACACCTTCACAACTTACAACCGTCTTCAAGTAACTCACCTCCTCGGCTCTGCGCCTGTTCTGCGGGTCGAGACTATTCGTCGCGCCCATGAGCGTCTGTCCGATAGCTTTGGTAGCTCCAATGGCCGGCCGGAAAATAATGGTAGGCGCCCGCTTCAACACGGCCTTGGCGAGGCCTTGCGCGCTTGAGCTATCCATCACCTCGCCTGGAACCGCAATGATGGCATCGCGGGCCAAGTTCAAGTCTCTCGTCAGGCTCGAGTAGCCCCCACGCAGCCCCTGTATGACACCGGTAGGCTGGTCCGCGTACAGAGAGATCTGCTTCTTCTCTTCTGGATCGAGATCAGCCTCTTCCCATGTGTTGTCAGTCTGGGGCTTGTTGAGGAGGCCTTCGGCACCCTGCAGCGCATATTGCGTTCCGATGGCCAGTTTGGCTCCAAACTTGACCATTTCAGTGCCGGTGGTGCGAGCAAACGCCGCCGCGCCCTTTCCAATGCTCCGAACGATGCGTCCGTCTTTTTTGTACTCCTTGATGGGAACCTCGATAAGCTCCTTGAATCCACTACCGATATTGACAATGCCTCTCACTGGCGCGAGACCTGCGAGAACGCCAGCCAACTGGGTACCCTTGACGTCCGGCATCCAGATGTCATTGAGGATCTTGCCCATTCTGTCAAAACCAGAAACACCATAAATAATGGTGTGTCTCAGTGTTAGACGTGCTTCGTCCAAGATGATGAAATTCATAAACTCCGTGGTGCGGCCTGACTTGAGACCTGCGTAATCGACTCGCTTGGGCTTGAAATCCAGCTTGACGGGTATGTCATGGACCTCGACTCTCTGAAGGAACGGCACATCGCTCGTTGAGCTGTGGACGGGAGTGCTGTCATCCTTAAACTCAAAGAATCTCGTAATGAAGTCGAGCGCATCTTGGTCAACATGAAGTCGAAGTGGCAAGAGAGTGACTCTCAAAACCATCTCTGAAGCTGCAAGATCCGGCTGCGGCTTAACGGTGAGCAGTTCGAGGTGGGCCATGCTGGTGCCCATCTCCCGCTCGCCGGCGTCTTGGTCATAGGTTGCAAACTTCTTCCAGGTAGAGGTTGGGACGTGGTCAAACACATCCAAAGTCTGGATCCGTACGTCGATGGAGCTCTGAGTCTCGCCAGAGTCAGGCGGGAAGGCAATCAGATCAACATTGACTCCCTGCAGCTCGAACGTGATCTTGTGGTGCTTGCTTCGGTTCAACCTCAATCTCTTCTTAGGCCTAGCTGCTCCCGTTCGGCCGGTCGTCGTTGTGAAAGCTGTTGTCGCGAGAGACTCAGTCTCTGTGGCGTTATCATTCAACTCCTGGTTGACCATTTGTGCGAGCTCTCGAGGGTCTTGCTTTGTGGAGATGCCGATGTAGATGGAATTGAAGAGGAAATCCCCAATTACTGTCTCATCTTCCTCCGCATCATCCTCAAAGACAGCACGCTCTGACCTGCGGCGACGTTCGTAGGCCTTGTCCTCGACATCTCGTACCGCCTTGGAGATGATATCGCGCGTGCGTTCCCAGTCATATCCGTCGAACAAATTCCAAATGACGTGCACATCGCGGACCGAAACTCGAAGTGGGCTTCTCTTAACAAGCTCCTTCGGCGCTTGGTCATAGCTGTTCTTCGAAGAGTTCCAGACCTGGGCTCTACCGTCGGTCTCGGGTCCCTTGTCGAAGAAATTCTCGTGTATCACTAGGTCACTGCCGTCATCGGAATGGTGTGAGGCACTTGCGTTGAAACTCGTAAGCAAGACCCCGTCATGTGTATCCTGAGTCGTTGTAGCATTCGATGTGATGGAGCCCTCTGCGTCGAAGAGGGGCTCTGAAGGGCCAGCGTCCTCATAGTAACGTGAGTCAATTTGTAATGGGCTGCCATCGCCTGACATATCGTCTTCGTCACTACCGCCCAGCTCCTGAGCGAGCTCAAAGTCTTTGTCGAAATCATAATCTCCTTCAGCTCGCCCAAAGGCCTCGGCAGAAATCGAAGCCAAGAGATCCTGGACAGGGACGACTGAGGTGCGGTACTTGTTCTCCTTGCTCGGCGGAGTAGGTGGCGTGAGCGCGTTAGCCAGAGTGATGAGGGTCTGGGTCGAATCGGCACATGTCTCCAGCACAAGTAGATCATCACGGAGTTCGACATCGACATGTTTTTCACCATCGTCACGGCTTTCCGACACCTTGACGACTGCCTTTGCAGATGAAATGTAGCAGATGCTCACGTAGCCTTGAGAAACGAGTCGCGAGACCTGTTGGGAAGACATATCCGCGGACTGCCGACGATTTACGGTAGAGCTCGCTCCTATATTAGTGGTATCGTCAATAAGCAAGATCGAGGCCTTGTTGAGGTCCAAGTTGGCCGTAGTATCCACGTCTTTTGGAAGAACCACTTGAAGCCGAGCATCGGTCAGGGCGATGAGGAGTTTCGAGGGCAGCCCCAGTGGGTTGAGACCGATCAGACAATCGCGGAAGACCAAGTCGACCGTCATAGGCTTACTATTCGGTCGGGCAGGGTCAGTCATACGGGCCGTAGGTTGAGGCTTCTTGCCGGTCAAGGCAGAGTGTGCTTGTTCGCCGAGATTGGCAACAGAGGCGGCAAGGCTGGCTTCGAAATCCTGTGGTGTAGCATCCTCCCCGAGTCCAAGGACATCCATGATTGTCGGTACTCGGTAATCAACCGTAATATCGCGCATCTTGATTTTAATCACCGGCTCCATCTCGTCTCCAATCATGCGTACCATGAGGACGGGGCCCTGGGTGAGCGTTCCCGGTGGTAGTGTCGTTGAAGAGCTCACGAGTTCTTCTCGGTGATTGCGATTCACGGAGATGGCGTGAACGCCGAATGCCACCAACGATGGTACTGTAATCTGAGCGACTTCGAAGTTCTTCAGGTTCGCATTGATCATGCCGAGCTTGCCGCCCAAGTCGATGACCGCACCAAGCTCCTTGACCTCGGCCAGGAGTAGGATGCCAGGCCTGTCGTCTTCTGGGAGATATTTTGCGACGGTTGCCAGTCGGGCAACCTCTTCGCCCAGCGCAGGGAGGCAATTCAGTTGATGTATGCGATCGACCCTTACATTCAATTGGTCGAAAGTCACCCGCAGAACCCCACCCTTCCGCCTTTGTCGGAGGAGCGTGTCGACCATGATTTCATCATCGCCCTGGTCGAACTTGACCTTGGACGGGATGATGAGTTCGAGAAGCCTTTCGAGATCCTTGTCCTTTGGCGTCGCGAGATACTCAAAGCGTACACCTCCAATTTCGGCGGAAATGGGCGGCTCTGCTCGGGAATTCCTGATATACGGCCCTGCCAAGCGAACTTTGCTGATTGCAAAACCGATCCCCAAATCTCGGCTTACCATCTTGACTGCACTCGTCTCCAAACCAACGCTGCACTCTCTGCCCTTCAGTTCCAGATTGAAGCCCCCTATTCGCATATCAATCTTGTTTTCTGCCGAGGCCGACTTGTCGTCCGGGTTGATTGGAGCATCAAATCGAACTCCTCGGGGTTTGGGGGGTGGTTGAACCGGCGCTCTGACGGACGGCGAAGCATTCGATGACATTGAGGAGCTCATGTTAAGGAAACTGCTCAAGCCACCAAACCAACTGAATGTCTCGTCCAGTCTTTGCAAATCGAGCTGTATCAATAGTGGTAAAGTAGTTACTTCAGTCCGAATTGAGCCAGCCGACTTGACTACCTTCACAGTCACATCAGAGCCAGCTGAAGGGAATTTGTCCATAACAGAGGCCCTCATCTGGAGGCTCTGGTCGAATGATATGATATCGTCCCTTGCGTAGCCGAAGCGGAACTTTTCGAGATCAACGGTCGTTTCGAGGCCCTTCTGCGATGACTTGAGTGATATGTTAAGTTTATCGAGATCCGTTCGGAGGAGAATCTCGGGTTGCATCTGCAAACCAGGAGAGCCCAGTATTCTCTCCGCTGTATCAGCAACACCGCCCAGTTGGTGAAGGAAATGTAGTGAAATCTTTTCAAACACAATATTCATATCGGGCATCGCCGATTCTTGCTGCGGCTTTGCAGCCGTCTTTGTAGCGAGAGCAGGGCCGTCTTTACTCTTCAATGCATCCAGCAACTTTCCAGCTACGACCGCAAGCAGATATGCCAGTGAAGCGTCGAATCGAATCTCCAAAGGCGACAAAAGAACCTCTATCGCCCCATCATTATCTGGCTCAACGAAGGGAAGGTCGGTTGGCATTGGCGCGAAGCCCGACCTCGATGCTGATGGAGGGGAATACACGGAGAAAGCTCCGGGAAGTTGAGGCGCGACCGATCTTGCCAAGCCAGGTGATCCTGGTGCTTGGCTCAGAACGGAGGCTTGAGCATCGGCTGGCACATGCACATGCTGATGCAGCGATGGAACGTAGAGGGAAATGTTTTGCAGGGAAACGAGCTCCTTGACCAGTCTCGTCGGTCCTCTTGGGGTTGCCACGTCGTCTGCCGGTGCTGGCGCATCTGCGAACTCATCCCGTGTGAAACTCGCCGGTGGTGGCTCCGTTGCGTCCTCACATCTAGCTTCAGCCTGATCTGTCGGATGCGGCGACTGAGACCTCTGTGATGCCGGCGCCTCCATATTGTCAAGAGGCATTGACTCCGGAATGCTCGGAGCTGCTTCGAATGCTGGTGGAGTTTGTTGTCTCGGCACGGGGCTTGACTTCTTGAGCTTGGGTGAAGCCTCCGGGCTCGAATCCGCATCCCACCCTCCTGGCATCCGCGATCCAGTTGGCTCGGCCTGCGAAAAGGCACTCATGTACATGCTCTCGGCTTCTTCGTGGGTGAACACGTGAGATTGCGCCAGATCATCAACCTCACCAGAGCTCGAGCTCTGAGACGCTGCGACAGACTGTTGCAACGCCTCGGTAGGTGCAAAACCACCCACTTCATTCAGCATGTCATTGTCTGCTGATTGTAGCGACGGTTCCGACCTCGCTTCTCTTTGAAAACTAGCCCACGGTAGAGGCTCATCTTCGTCTCCTTGGATAGTGGACTGGGATAGTGGAATGTGTCTTTGAGGAGAAAAGTCTTGATATATCGATGCCCTGGGCGTCGTCGGTTCCTCCTCTTCTGCTTGTTCCTCTGGTTGACTCGAGAAATCGTATGGGATATTGAAAGCTTCCTCACTGTCCTGTAGTAGCGCATCATCAACTTCAGACAAGTCTGCGGAATCGGACAAGAAGCTCTCCTGCATGGTTGGTCGGAAGGTACTGTGCCTTGATGCTGAGGTGCGCTCGCTGAAAGATGGTGATTGAGAGATAGATGGCGATGAGACGGACGGAGAGCGTGCAAACTGCGAGAAGACTGTGGCCTCTGAAATCAGATAGGCTCGTATCTTTGATAAGGCAATGTGCCGCTTCCCATCTTTCGGCACAATCGTCGGCGCACCTTCGTCGTTGTGTGTCTCCGCGGTAACACCTTCGACATCTATGCGATCCAGCGCGAGCTGGAAAGTAACGAGCTCCGGCGTCGTCGAGGTCGGCTCGAGGGGAACTTCGACGTCCATTTGAAACGTGACCCCTCGGATGCGCACTTGGATGCGGTCGACGATGCCCTGGAGGAACCCGGCCAGGAATCCCGGCAGGGACAACGGCTGCCCTGTACCGAACTGGCTTCCATCATCGCTCATCGAGCTCTCGCTCATCGTGGAACCGCCTAGATCCTGTGTCTCGGCTGCAAGAGCATCCTCCAACCTCCTCTTCTCTTCGGCAAGTTTCGCATCTTTTAGCGCCGCATCTTCGTTCAGGAACGACTGCGCAAGGTTGACCGTATTCGGTAGGCCCTGAGCATCGTCACTCCTTGCTGCGGCCTTTGTCTTTTTGTCGTCGCCGAGAGTTGACACCTTTAACCGGACGTCAACGCCATCGATTTCGATAACGATAGGGCTCGTGTAAAAGTCAACCGGGATTGTAACGTTGAGTTTCAGCACTTTGGCTTTCTGGACTTGGAACGAAGCAGGGAGCTGGAGAAGTCGTTCGAGTTTCTAGAGGCGTACGCAGGATCTTGTTAGCCCTCCGGTTTTGGTCATGGCCCCTCTATCAAGTGGCTGACTGCAGTACGGGACATACCTTGAGGCGCACTCCAACATCCTTGAATTCTGCCGTTGTTGTCCTGCCCAGCGCAAATTGCAGGTTTTCCATGTCCAGCGTCTCCTCATCAAGCAGCTCCAGACGCCGCAGAGCGTAGATGAGGAGGCGCTTCGACAAGGTCGAGCTTCTGAAGCTCTGGAATATCGTCGCCATATTGAGCTTGGTATTCGCAACCCTCGGTGGGTTGCTCGCTTGGGGGAAGAAGAGCGACGGTGTTGATTTATCGATCGATCGGCTTAGAGGTCTCGAAGGAGTAAGGTAGGAAGTAGGAGGATGGCCTCTCCAAGTTACAACAGGTTGGCCGGAATGTGGTCCTTAGGCTGCAGGAAGTAGGAAGCTGCGCTGGTCTTTGGAGCGAATTCGGAGGTCACTAGGCTGCGGTTCACCGGGCATGGGTAATGCAGGCTGCGATCGCCGTGTTATCAGAAGACACCCTGCCCAAGGCGGGGACGTTGTTCATGATGTGCTGGTCATCCAGAGAAAGGTTTCGCTACTACGGAGGTTCAGATGTCGAGATAGATCGTAGATGGGGTACAAGTGAGGAGGTAAAGGCCGACAAGGGCTGGAGAGGTGGAATCAGAGAGGTCGGAGATGTACAAGGGGAAAAGAAACAAGAAGGACAAGAAGGTGTAAGGTAGTTCAAGTTTGGACCCAAGCGCCTTAGTTGGGCAGAGGCAAATGCAGAGAGACCTTGGTGTGCTCTTGGACAGCGGCAACGGGCGGTGGTGACAGAAAGGTAAACCTAAGGCAAATAGGTCACTGATGCCCGGACGCTGTGATGAGGCAAGCCGTGACTAAGGTAAGGTGAGGCAAAGGGTACTTGTTGACTGGGCCGTACTCCGTACAGATGTACAAATGGGAGGTAAAAGGAGGTCTAGACAACAGCATGAGCGTGAGCAGAGCAGAGCAACGAAGCATGCCGCAATGAAGAGGAGGAAAGGCGGGACACAGGCATCCAGGTCACTCCCGTCCACTCCCAGCCAAGCAAATGCACTAGAGATTGGTTCCCCCCACTGCCTCTAACAGCGCGTGACTCTGGCCGGGTTCACGTCACCGTCACCGACAGGGTGTGCAGGGGTCCTCTACCTTATCAGTTGACTTGCTCCAAAATGACCTTTATCGATAAGGTGGCAGTGGGTTAAGGTGGGCAAGGGGGGGAGGAATGACCGTGGCTGAAGCCGATAGGATGGTTTGATGTTTGGGGACCACTCAAGCATCACTGGGGCCACTGGGGAGGGGAGGGGAGAGGAGGGGCTCCATCACTTGTGACTGTGAGGAATGTCCCCTCCATGGTGGTGCACTGAGCCGTGCGTCCGTTCCACCTGATTGATGCAGAACCCGCCATGCCTTATTCCCATCTTAGTACGTTCCTTGCCTCTATGCCTAGGGTACAGGTTGTCTCCAAACACCAAACATGAACACAGAGACTCCATCACCAGAAATGTTCCTCGAACAGGTCCCTTCTATGATGGTCTTATTCTACTGTCCCTTCAATATCTCGCCTAGACGTCTGGTCATGAACATGCTCCAGCCAGTCTTGCGGTTAGATTAACAAAAACATACATAAGCATCTACCTTACTCTGTCTTTCCCTTCTGCATGTGAAGCTGTCATGAGAGACGTGCAGACCCACATTTCACAGCCATCGATGTCTAATACCTACTCCTTATGTCTTAGCCAAATGTCAACACAATCTCCATTACAAGACTCGGAATCGATAAAGAGCAGAACACAAAGGCAGAGAAAGGTCGTTCTGCCTAGTGTTACCCCAGCCTATTTCATCAGGGCGACATTGTTTCAGACCATCAGTGCCCATATGCAAATCCAGACGTATAATGTCTGTCCAAGATTCTTCCCCTGAAAAAAAATATACTCATTGTAAATAGTCTTTTGAAGAATCAAATGACGGCCGTCATCGTCGTGGGTCATCTCATCTACAACAAAAGAGAATGCAGCACAAAGGCCTTCGGTACATAGAAGCAGGCCTTGGCCAGAATGCAAAGATACCACCAATGACTCCATCAACCACCAGGCCATGCAGGATGCGCCGTACGAATCGCCCAATTCCGAGCCATGCCACCACATCAAGGCTGAGCGAGGAACGGCTCCGGTCAGCATCCCGTCTACTGGTCCTCTTCCAGAGTCTTGCTGCTCACCCGCCCGTGGGCCTCGGCAACCCTTCGGCCGACACTCTCACCGCTCCAGTAGGCTCCCGTCGCCGTCCCTAGCGCCACGAACGGCGCCGTGTGTTCGCCCGCCAGCCACAGACCGCCTTCCGGTACACCTTCCCGCATTGCTTCAATGTCCTTGTCGCCCTCCAACAGCCCGGTTGGGAAGTTGCTGTAGCTGCCGTTGCCTGCCAGATCGTCTCGCAGCCAGTCCGTCGACAGACTTCCCGTTGGCTTGCAATCGGGCGAATTCTCGTCATAATGTGGCAGGCGGGAGTAGTATGGCTTGAAGAAGTCGTACAAGAAATAGTTTCTCTCGGGTATCGTCTTGAGCCTCGACACGCCTTCGGTAATGTACTTGGACTCTTCTCCGAAAATGTAGAACAAGAGTGTTGGGTGCGAGTGCTCGCCCATCGAGGCAAGATCAACAATCTCCTGGTTCCATCTCTTTGGGTTCGTCTCTTGAGCATATGTTGGCGCAAGCCATTGGCAGAAGCCCTGCACCACGCGGCCCTCTGCATCGGGCTCAAGCCAGAACGCTTTGGGAAAGCTGATGTATACCTTCTCCAGGCATCCATACCCGATGGCTTGGATTCCACGCTCGACTCTCTCAGGTAGAGATGGTTCGAATGCTTGAAGATTCTTCTTCAGCCAACCCAGGGGTGTCGTCATGACGACGTCGTCAAACTCCAAAATCTCGCCCGTGTTGGTGTGAATCCTCGGTTTAGGACGTTCCGAGGTTTTGAGTTCCACCTTGGTAACGATAGTATCGTACTTGACATCGGCATTGTGCCTGACAGGCTCTGCAACTCGCTCAAAGATCTTTTCGTATGTACCAGCGCAGAACAAGTTTTCTTCCACAAGTCAGCCAGAAGATTACATCACTTCAAATCAGAGAACACCCACCTCCGTCTATGCATTCCTCAAGCCAAAAGAACTTGAGACTTTGGGTCGTGATTGGACTGCCGGAAAAAGCGCCCCAGAGCTCTGCAATCTGGAGAACGGTTTTTCGCTTTTCAGCAAAATTCTCCTCGGTGTCGGGAATTTTCTCGACCACTCTTTCCTGGAAGAAGTCCCAGAGACTCTCGTCGGGGTGTATAGTGGCCGTGTTCTTGTTGGAGTGTTGGAAGGCGTCCTGGACAATATCCCACATCAAACTCGAGTAAATTTCGCTCTCGTCCAGGTTAAACAGGTTTCCCGAATCATCAAACACATATGACCGGTGATCCCAGCTCCCCACGGCAGTTCCAGTCTCTTTGGCCAAGTCATTGATGGGATTGTCGTCTGTGCCATGAATCCAATTCGGACCGAGGTCTACAGTGTGGCCGTTCGGTAGTGTTTCCTGGAACATACGCCCACCAAGTCGCTCTCGGCCTTCAATGATGGTTACCAGCAGGCCATGTTGAATTAAGATATCAGCGCAGCGCAAACCGGCGAGGCCAGCACCGATGACAGCAATATGGGGTCTTGGACCCGACTCTGATTGTTTGCGCTGTGACGTGTCAGGAGGATACTGCATTGACGAACATTGACATGTAGCTTTCGTCTTGTACACCGAGATGTATATACTATTAAAGGTACGGTCGTGGTAAGAATCGGACGGGTTCGCCCATCAGAAGAGACAGATCGGTGGCCCCGGCCCGAAGCGTCCCACTAATGGTATTGGGCACGTGGTTGACAGGAAGCAGCAGACTTACCCGCAGAAGTGAGTCCATGGTCAGCGATCTAAGCAACAGCTTGTCTTGTCCGGACCCAAGAAGGCTCTGGGCTCGGCAGGACTCCAAATCCTGGTAAATGCGGGATGTGCTCCGGTTGGCAGGGCTGGTGTAAGAGACTGAGTAAGCGTCCATGGCGGCAAGTACTTGAGGAAATGCAAAAACAAACAAAAAAGAGTGTGAGGGTATTGCGGTAAGGTAGTATTTGACGATCTGGTCACGAAAGTTGTTTAATGGGGGAGAGCGCGGGCGAACTATGCCGCAACGCTGCCGGTTGAGTGCTGATCCACAGCAGAAACAAGTGAAGTCACAGGATACGGGCCTGCGTCTGGTTTTGTGAGAACCCCAGACGGAGTGAGACGGACAAAAGGGAGCTATTGCGATTTTGAGGATTGGGAGAAGAGGTCAGGCGGAAGAGGCAGCAGAAGGATTGTGGGGATGAGAAGGGGAGGGGAGGGACGTGGTGAAATGTCTAGCTCGCAGCAGCTAATACGCTCTGGTCAGGATCTGGGGTGGTAAAGTTGATATATAATAGGACCCGTGGATCTGGGTGCAGCGACCGGGAAGGTTAAGCGCGAGGAGAGTCCAGATAAGGTATGGTGAAGGTGACGGGCTCCCCATATAGGTTGTAGGTTAATGACGAAAGTGCCTTTGATTGAGCCGAAGTGTGCGCCATGTAGTAGTACCGATTGGAGGTGAGAGTGATACCTTGCGTGGCCGAACAGGTTCATGAGAGACATGAAAGGCGCATCGGACGGAGAAGGTGGAGGAAGGAAGAGACTGGGGGCATATTTGCCATTCCAGAGTCTGCAGCTTGCCAAAACCACTTTAATCTTCTTTCTTCCGACAAAGGTTGTCATGCAGATGCTGTTCAACACACGGCAAGTCCCAACAACACCTCCAGCTCATCTTCCCCCTCTTGAGGCAATGGCAACAACAAGTAAGTGCTCGGGACTGTCGCCGACTAGGCTCGCGTAGAAGCGGCGTAAATGATGGTCCATACAAGTAGCTGGGGGTAGACGCCGTTGTGCTCCGACAGGACGCCTTTGTGCATTTTGGCTCAACTTATAATTAAGCCACCAGCACGTGGAACGTAATGACGTTGGACCACGACTGGCTCTTGAGGCTTTCCGCGGGGAAGAGTTGACGGTTGGCTGTGCGAGGTACACTATTGGGAGACGACGTAGGGCATTTTCGTGTTTGTGTAACGGGGAGATGGGGGGCGGCAAAGAGAGAACTAAGAACTGAGTTGAGGAAATTGAGAGACAGAGGGCAGTGAGAATAAGGAAAATAAGGAGAGCGCGGCATTGACGGTGAGAACGTAGAACTTACAATGCAATACGCGATCGGGCGGGGGAGACTGCACGCGCGCTAAGCCTCGATATCATCCGGGATAACGAAGGAAAGAGGCAGAGAAGAACGAGGGACGAGGGCGTGGGCGTAGGCGTAAAAGAAGACGCAGATGCAGACTCAGACTCAGACGTAGACGAGAAACGCCCTGGGAGGACGGGAGAGAGAAAAGAGGCCCGGATGAGAAAATGGGAGAAGGTTGAGGTTGCTGGTTCGGTTCCAGTTTGGATTTTCGGTGAGCTGCAGCTCCCGTCATGAAATTTCTGGCAGTGAACCTGGGCGTTCAGGGTCTTTCTTGCTGGGTCTCGGGTCTTGGGTCTTGGGTCAGATCCCAGTTGCCAGGAAAGGGCGGGATCGGATAATGAAAGTTGTATTGGTGTGCGGTGGAACTGGAAATGGTGGAACCTCGTGGGAAACCAGTAGACGGCGCAAAAGTGTTCCGTCGTGAGAAATGAAATGCTACTTGGCTAAGGTACCTACGTGTCGCTCCGTAAGGTACCTACACCTGGGCAGGGAAAGACGAAGGTACCTTGCCTAAGATGATACTTTACCTTACCTTACCTTACTCTCCATATGGATACTGCGTACTCCATACCTTCCTCAGAGAAACTCAACAGAGAATGGCAGGAATGGCCGAGAATGAAGGAAAGTGTGGACGAAAAGGAACGAGGGGCACTTTCTCTTTGGGACCGGTGACACTTCACTGCTCCTTCTCCACCGACAGCGTCATTCCTCCACCTTAATCTCCATCCAACTCTCTCCGCTCTTTTTTTTTTCTTTACTGCGAGAGAAGTACCCTTCCACCCTTCCATACTCTCTCCCCTTCCACCTTGTCACCACCGCATCCCTCTCCGCCGCCTAGCTGAACCTCTCCTCGACTGACACACGTCCCGTTATGCCCACCCTGTCACGATGCCGGCCAACTGACTCGATGCTCTGCCAGGAAACGCACTGAAACTGCAAATAAGAGGAGCCGACGATACCCTCAAGCTTTCTGGCCTACCTTGACAGCAAACAAAATGCCAAGTGCCAACATCCAACTTGCTGCATCTTTTCCTCAAAGGAGCCACACCTGATGCTGATAGGCCCTTTTACACGCCCAATCGGGCCTTGCTGACCGCGACTAGGACACAATGCCGCCGATCATGCCATCTTTCTAGAGTCCCTTCTATTACCCTCTAGTTCTTCGGAGTGCGGGCTACGGAGTACCAATCTCCCTTCCCACTTGCCGGACCTGACCAGACAGAGCCTCATCCCCAAGGTCACGATGCCTCCGCCATCATCACTCGTCCTCCTTTTCCTCCTACTAGTGCACATCGGTGCCGGCCAGTCGCAGGATGACAGCCAGCCAACCCAGCCACCACCATCCACAGACACCTCAGAGAATCACCTGTCATGGCAATCTGCCTTTTGGGCCCTCCTCGCCCTTGTCCTCAACACCGCAACCCAACCGTGCGGGAAGATCTGCGGGTTCCCCTCAGAATGGGGCTTTTGCCTCAGATGGTCGCCCGTTGTCTGCGTCATAAACTCACTCGAAGCCCTCAGCTGCCTTCGCCTCCACCGCCACGGCTCCAAATGGACTCTGGTTATCGCACCGCACAAATACGATACAGAAATAGATAGCTCATACAGTGACGTGGCCAACTTGCAGCGCAACACTTTGATCCGTATTGTCGCCTTCATCTTGGGCCCTCTGTTGCAAGCAACCAAGTTGTACGCTTGCAAGGGCACCTTTTGGGTTCAATTTCTAGCATCCATCTATCTCGCCAGTTTTCTCTGCGATGAGTTGTTGCTCGGCCTCATATGGATAGTCGGACCTGCGGAGGGCCGGAACAGGGTCATCGGGCTGGTCGAAGCCGTGGCGGGGAGTCGACTCCGCCCTCCGGTCCACTTCCCGCTCCTTAGACTTGAGAGCGATGCGGCTATGGACGAGGACGACCAACTTCGAGACAGCCGCACAACTTTGAGACAAGCTCTGGCCATTATCGCCTCCCACTTGCTGCTAGGATGGTTTTTGGTCGAAACTATTACCGGAGCATACATGACGCACTTTCATGCCGTTATATTTAGTATGCTCGGAACGGCTTTTCTTAGCAGCATCGTGTCAGGTATCTTTTGCGGCTTGCGTTCCTACAAGAAGCATCAAAAGATGCCGCAAGTCTTTTTGGACGTCTTGTATGGCGTTGGCAACGTCATATGGCCAACTGGTCTTGTGCTTGCCATTGGAGAAAAATGTCAGGAGCTAGCAGTGATACAAGCAAACGGTACCATAGACTTCAACGCCAAAGGCTCTGGCAGCCAATGGGCCTGGAAAATCGGAATGGTCCTGTGGACTCTGGAGATATCCCGATGGGCCCGAATGCACCTCACAACTAGCAATCGATACGGGGTCCCAAAGCCTGTGGACGTCATTCTTCCACTCTGGGCGGCTGCGCATGTTGTGGTTGCACTGGCTATGTTTAACTTTGCGTATGATTCGAGTCGTACTTACAAACCGGCTTGGACCGATGTGCTGGGATGAGATCACGCCATGAAGAGCCAGGGACCAGTCAAGTAGGCAAAAGCCGACTTACTCGTGTCTACAGTACACGAGCAGGACAGAAGATGTTCACAAAGGATATATTCGCCTGTTTACGACGATCCGATGTTCATCAAAGTTATTAGCATGGTCTGATGTCAAGGTCAGCGTAATGTTCGCCGTCTGATCAGGCCCAAGGTGCTATCGAAGACACTGAGAGCTTGGGGGCCGACCTCCCCAAGCTACGAGTTGCAACGTACACGTCCTTGATTGTTTGTTCTGGAATGTTGCATTATTGACAACTTATATCCATGAGGCGACTGAAGACTCATTGCTTGTGGTCGAGCCGCTCTGTGTGAGCAGACTTGGCCGAATTTCTGTTTACTGAAAGGGAACATCGAACCTCGGAATCTCATTATTGACTTGAGGGATGCAACTGCACGGGGGAGACGGCCCCTCTGCGGGGTAAAAGCTTCCCGCCATTGTGGGGAGCATCAACAGGGGGCTCTGTCGCGTCGCGCAGTCCTTCAGACGTCTCAACCAGCGATCATGTCTACTTTGGAGCAAAGTTTCGCAGCAGGATGTCCCTCGAATTCCCATCAAGTAGCAAAAGTCAATTTCGATTAGGGGTCTTCTGGTTCTATTAGTCTCTGGAGTGATTAATCAACAAAGGCCGCGGTAGACTCCGAGGTGCATACACAAAGCTTCTAGTCCTCGATATGCCCCCGCTGCCCCCCGGCCAGACTAAAATGGCATCCCCCAGACGCCGTCTCATTCCCCAGCCTCCCGCCATCCAATCACAGCTCCGCCGAATATCAGCACGAACCCGGAAGGTCGCCCACGCTCCACAAGAGCCGAGGCTCGCGGCACGATTTCCAGACATGGCTGGACGCCGCCTATTCCCCCTAGAACGGTAGAACCCCAGACCGATGTCAGCCGAGAGACGCACTGCCTCCTCAACTAGAATGACCTGACCGCCGGTGCGATCTGCTCAGACTCTCTCTTAATCCTCGTGAACCCACACTCTGAAGAGCCGACTTCAACCTCTCTTCCTCCTCCCACATCGACGGACATCCCATCTCCCGTAGACGAATCGAACCCCCAATTCGACTGCTAGACCCCGCCGTCAGCTTGTCCCTTCGATTCCTTCTCATTGGCCCGAGCAATAAAGGTGTCCAACCACGAACTTCAAATTGCCCATTATGGCCGCGAAGACGTTCTCTCGCGATGAGGTCACAAAGAATAACACGGAGGACTCCCTCTGGTGCATCATCGACTCCAAAGTCTACGACCTGACCGACTTCGCCATGGGTCACCCCGGTGGCGAGGCTGTCCTTCGTCAGGTCGCGGGCCAGGATGCCACAACCCAGTTCTACAACCTCCACCGTCAGGATGTCCTCACAAAGTACGATAAGACCCTCGTCATCGGCACCGTCGAGGGCGAGAAGCCCCAGGTTGTCGTCACTGGCCCTGGCGAGCTATCCCCCGTGCCGTACGCCGAGCCTACCTGGCTCACGCCGCAATTCAAGTCCCCCTACTTCAACGACTCGCATCGCTCTCTGCAAAAGGCCATTCGCAAGTTCACCGACGAGCACATCACCCCCGTGGCCCTTGAATGCGAGGAGAAGGGAGAAGTCATCCCCCAGGAGCTCATTGATAAGATGTCCAAGGCGGGAGTGCTACACATGCGTCTCGGGCCTGGCAAACACCTGCATGGTGTAGAGCTCTTAGGCGGCGCCGTCAAGGGCGAGGAGTTTGATTACTTCCACGACATGATTCTTAGCCAGGAGATGGCCCGGACCAACTGCCGTGGTTTCCAGGACGGCATGCTTGCGGGTATGACTATTGGACTGCCCGTCGTGCTCAACTTTGCCAACTCCGAGTCGCTGCGCAAGCGCGTCGCGGATTCGGTTTTCAGCGGCAAAGACAAGATTTGCTTGGCCATTACCGAAGCATTTGCTGGAAGTGATGTTGCAGGTATTAGAACCACTGCGGAAAAGACACCTGACGGAAAACATTATGTGAGTCCGCAATTTTCTATTCCCGTCAACTACTGCAACCAGCACAACCACAACCCCCAGAGATCATCACCACCAAAACCACAACCACAACCACAACCACAACCACAACACCACAACACAAGTTGATCATTAATTAATTAAATCATGAAACAGATCGTCAATGGAACCAAAAAATGGATAACGAACGCCACGTACTGTTCTCTTTTTGTTGTTGGTGTGAAGACAGACAAGGGCCTCAGCGTCCTCCTTATAGAGAGAGGCGAAGGGGTTGAGACCAGGCCTATCAAAACATCCTACTCTCCAGCCGCAGGAACGGGTTTCGTCACCTTTGACAATGTCAAGGTTCCAGCAGAGAACTTGCTGGGCCAGGAGAACAAGGGCATTCACGTCATCCTTAGCAACTTCAACCACGAGCGGTGGACCATGGCTTGTAAGTCTTCATCACCAGTGCGTTTCGCCCCCAAGATTCGGATTAGTGCTGACCGTGATTCAACTAGGTGCCACAATCCGTCAATGCAGAGCCGTCGTCGAAGAGTGTCTCCTCTGGGCAAACCAGCGTCTCGTCTTCGGCAAGCGTCTCATTGACCAACCCGTCATCCGCCTCAAGTAAGCACCCCCCCCCCCCCACCAACGCTCTACCCTAGCCCTGAACTTCCACTTACACATACACCCCAACAGACTCGCAAAGATGATTGCACTCACAGAATCCCACCAATCCTGGCTCGAAACAATCACCTATCAGATGAACTCGATGCCCTACAAGGAACAAGCAAAACACCTTGGCGGGCCCATTGGCCTCCTCAAGATGAGCGCCACCCGCGCCGCGCACGAGATTGCCGACGAGTCGGTCCAGATCTGGGGCGGCCGCGGGCTCACGCGGACGGGCATGGGCCGTGTGATTGAGATGTTCAACCGCACGTACAAGTTTGATGCCATCCTCGGCGGCGCGGAGGAGGTGTTGGGTGATTTGGGCGTTAGGCAGGCTATGAAGTTTATGCCCAAGTCGAGGTTATAAGGGAATATATCTTGGGTTATGGGATGACATGGATGTTGTCACTGTGCCGGATTTGTCCGCCGTTGTGGATGAGGAGGCTACATACACTGCGCCACGTAGAGGTTGCGCTCTCGTGATCGAGACGGGACGAAGAAAGGGGGCTGGCTTGTTTGTCAGCTATATATCTGTACTGTAAAAGGAATCATTCTGGAATACCTCACGCAAACCCTTTTTCTTGGACGAAAACTCGAAGAAAGGGAAAAGTAAACATTGGACGATCGCCTACCTCTAGCCCATCCTCAATCAACAAGCCTCCCTCCCCAATCCTTTCCCGGCCAACCTTTACCCGAACCTTGTCTCTCTCTCTCTCTCTCAACCCCAATCCCCATCCCTCTCCCTTCTCTCTCGTGAGTTTGAACAGAGTTCGGATATACACCGGGAACAAGACGAGACGATGATCAGTGTGCTCTGCTCAAAGGTAAAAGACACAAAAAGTAGGTAGACACGTAGGCGGGCAATAGGGTTTCGTTTCGAACGGGGCTAGCTGCGTTGCACTTTTCCGAGGCGCGCGAGGGGGGGCAGTTGCCCAAGACAAGTATGTCTGAGATTAAGATACTTGAATCCCCCTCTCAAAGAATTGAACACACTCCCATATTGCATATCCAAGTTATAACACTCTAGTAGCATCTTTCTAACTTGTTTAGTAAGCACAATCTCAAGATCTCATCTGTGATGGAATTGAAAACTCCTCAAGTCTCCCTCCATCCAGGGGTTCGTAGCCCCAACTCTTCGGAGGGGGCCAATCGAGTACCAAAAAAGAAGCAAGGGCACATTCTTGAGAGTCATCGCCTACTAATAATACCTTAGCACGGATGGAAACGAAAGTTTGCAGCGGGCGAGTCTGACAACGGGGAGACTTTCCAGCGTTGGGACGACGCGCTCACCCCCCAAGTTTCAGAAACATTTGTCTTTTCTGTTTGGGACGGACTTTGGGCCGTGGTCGTCAACGTTCACGTCTCATTAACACGCCGGGCAGAAGAAGTACTTCTGCCTCATAACCGTTCTAGCAGGAAGGACATACATCACGGGCACTGTAACGGATACTGGACCAGAGCACAAGAAAGAGGTTACGACGCAAACTTTCCATTCCCTGCCCTGAACGACAGCCATGACCGCTTAGAACGGCCCACACTGCCCAGGTCGTCGTTACCATTGAGAGTCCATTTTTTTCCCCAGACTGCTCAGATGCAACGAAGACCAAGTCTATCAGAGGTCGAAAGCTATTCCGGCCCACAAAAAAGAGGCCCTCCCACTCTGCCTGCTTACTCCCCTCCTCTCAGTTCCTTTTCCATAAAAAGAAAACCCGGAGAAGAGATCAGCGCAAAAGCTTGTGTCTCCCTTTTGCGTTGCTGTGCCATCGTCATCCAAACGATCCGAACCAAACCCCGCATTTTGCCGAGGTTGTGGCGGACCCAATGCGAAAGGTGTATCTTGGTGCGTTAAGAAAAAGCCGTGATTCATATGCCGTTGTCCGTGTAAAACTTTTCCGCGGGCCGAGTCCCAGAGTTGTTTGCCGTGAGAACATGAGAGCAAGGAAGAAAAGACGAAAAAAAAGACGAGGGTGAAAAAAGGAAATGTACAAAGCATCCGCAATGCCTAGTTGATATCGCAAAAGTGAGCCACGGTGGCCTCGGAGCCGTCGAACTGTCTCGAAACCGAGTCTGCCGGGAAGGCAGACAACTCATCGCCGATAGTCATCGCAGACTTAGTTGTTGGGGCACTGGGACTGGACGTGTCCGGGCTGCTGGCACTTGTAGCAGATCTTCTCGCCGCCGGAAGACTCCTTAGGGCAATCGCGGGAGAAGTGGCCGTTCTCGCCGCAGTTGTAGCACTTGGAGCCATTGGTGCAGTCGCCTTCGTGGTATGTTAGCAAGGTCGAATTGACGATCTGGAGACCATCTCGGGCACTTACGAGACATGTGGCCGTAGCCACCGCAAGAGTAGCAGGTCTTCTGGCTGGCACCGCCGTAGCCACCACCGCCGGAGTAGCCACCACCGTAGCCGCCACCATAGCCGCCGCCAGCCTTGGGGCAGTTGCGGGCAATGTGACCGACCTCACCGCACTGTTACATTGTGTTAGTACTGGTAGATATCGCGTTCAAGATAAGGCAAAGCGGACCTTGTAGCATTCGGAGCTGGAGGGGCCACCACCACCGACGTTGCCTCCCTGGGGGCAGTCGCGGCTGATGTGGCCAGCCTGGCCGCAGCGGTAGCAGGACTTGGTGTCCTTGGGGCCCTCGGGGCAGTCACGGCCTTCAAGCATGTTAGTCGACAATCAATATCGTGGACATCTTCAAAAGGACTTACTCATGTGACCCTCGTCTAAAGCGAACGTCAATCAGTCATCTCGTCGGCAACATACAGATACATCAAAACTCACTGCCGCAGTTGTAGCTATATCCAAGTCAGTGTGGAGCAAATCAGGCAAATAAGATCAAATCAACGTACCACTTGGCGGCGCCACGGTTAGGGCACTCGCGGGCCTAGAAAGAGTCAGTAAGTCGAGAGCTAGGCATCGTAATATCCTCCAGCAAGTCGTACCTGGTGACCAGCAGCACCGCCTAAATATCTCTGGTCAGACTCTTACGCTCATGAATTGTAACGACGTTTGGGGGAAAGACAGGATCAAGGTGTCACTGGCATTCCGGCTCAGAGTCAGTGAGATGACGCAGTAAGGGCATACAAGCGGCTTCTTTGACAGATCTGGTCCAGGTATGCGAAGCTGGCAACGCATTTACACCAACGCGAATGCTTTGCCAGGCCTCTTTCCAAGTGATGATTCCAGCTTCGTGCTGAGAAGGCCCCACCAAACACCAACTTGAAAATCATATAGATGCTTGATAGAGCTCTCAGCGCCCGCTTTTTGCCAGCAACCTCTAGATCCGGTGGACACATGATAACTTGAACTCGGAAAATAAGGGGCCCAGAAGTAAGCTGCACAAATGAAACAGCCACCAATAACAGGCTGGAAAAGCTCTGAGTGGAAGCGGTGAGGACTCGGTGAACCAATGGCAACCAGATCTCGGAATAAAGTGCCAGTTGATACCGAAAGCCACAAAGCCACCCACAGAAAGGAAAGTGGAAAAATTGAAAAGCATGAAAAGCAGCGCGTAGGTTGGAAAAGAGGTGAGACGGGGGAAGCGCCGAAGCTGGGAAGGCTACTCACAGGTGAAGCAGGTGCGAGCCTGGGGGGCGCCGGCAGATCCCTGGAAATCCATTGCGATTGATATTGGGTTGGTTAGGAGTAGTAACGGTAGTGTTCAGAACTGGAAGAAAGGCGTTAGAATAACGGCAAAGTCGATGAGGTGATTTGAGGTTGTCGAGGGGAGGAATTGAGCCAAGCTTTTCGTGTGAGAAGGGAAAAAGATCTGGGAGGCGAAAGACGGCCTTGTCGCAATGTGGTTGACGTGGGGAGGGGCAAGTGGCATGTGTGTGCTTGTGTGCGCGCTTGTGTGTTGTGTGTGTGCGGTGCGCGATGTGGGGAAGTTGGAGATGGAGGTGCGTGTGTGCGCCGCCCTCGTCAGATACAAGAGGTGAATTTGCGGTTGGCAGCTGGCAAGCTCTGGAGGGGTTTTGGTGATATCGATGACGGGATCCCAGTCGAGTTGAATAATATCCCATATTGGTGAAAGGAGGGGCTATCTCTCTCCTCCCCGTGGACGACGATCAGGAAGAAAAGGCTATACTCACGTATGAAGGGCGGATAATCGAGCCGTGATCAAAAATCTCTGCTCGAAGAAAAAAGGAGGGGTGTTTTTTCGCAGTGGTTTTGCAAGGTTTACGATGAGTGGTGGTGGTTTTGTGTTGTGGGAGAGAAGGGGAGGGAAGTGGTCGTTGCGGCCAGGGAGTGGCCAAGGTTAAAAAAGAAAAGGCAGCGAATTTGGATTGTCAGACCGCCTTGTGGAGCCCAAGAAAATCTGGTAGATGGGTAGGCGCCGGAGCACCAATCAGATAGGCAAGTCCCTTCTAATAAGGGGAAGAACCCGTCTCTAGACTCTGGATGCCCCCTTCTGGCCTTTCCTTGGGCTTTTCTGGCTTGGACCGAGCAGGCGGCACTTGTGTTTGATTGCAACTTGGTGACGGGAGTGCCCATGAAACATGAGCGTGTGTGTGTGTGTGTGTGAGACGGAGATTGACACGGTTGGCTAACCTCACTTCACCTTACTTCAACTCTCTCAGCACACTCACTTGCCGTCATACTATTCAGCAAATGAATGCTCTTGATGTTGTCATAATCATCGTTATGAATCTGACGGGCTTCTTTCTCAGTCTTACAATAGACACATCTGTACCATGGCCAGTTCAACATGGATATGAGATACCGGTCTCACGTTTGTCGAGTACTCCAATAAGGTGCCTGTTCATCTCCCGTTCCCCTCACAACTATCTATGAACGTGGCTGGCCTGCCTTGCCTCATATGCCTGTGCCTGTGCCTAGCTACAGCCCACAGCTCTCATAACCTAAGGTAGCCATCAATGCCCGAAATGCGCCGGCGCCTTTTCCCCATAGCCGAAGATGAGATTGTGCTGTCTGTCAGCTTCAGATAGGTACTGGTAGGGCACAATGACAAAGTTGGGACACCTTGGGCAGAATCAGGCCAGCCAAAAGGGGCGGCAGCTAGTTTGCCTCACAAAATGCAGCGTCGGGAAGTGACCCGGACTGGGCTTACCATTAAGGGCTACTACGGTCATGGTCATGTTCATACCGCATTACGTAGGTATTCGGAATTCCCTGGAGACTTGGGTGGCCCCCCATGACGATGAAGGTTCAAAAAGTTGAGATGAAGACACTCGAAGCTCAGGTTTCTGATAGCCTAAAGAACCTTCCAAAAAGGCCGGACAGGACGGGACACCAAACTCTAACATTGCTGATGGGGGGGAAAGAGGAACGGAGAAGAAGCCGTTGGGGGCAATGGAAGCGCTTCATTCAAGCCCTTCTCTTCGTAAACTCCAGGGACGGTGAACTCAAAGGCAGGTGACTCTACAAATTCAATTTCACATCGTCGATGCTCTAGACCGGGTTGGTTACGGTAAAAGTAAAGTGCCTTTTCTTTCACTTGAATCGATCGAATGAAGTGAATTGCTAGGTAGAGACTAGAGTTGCTCATGAGACCCCCTCCTCCCCACCATCCGTCGCTGTCCTCGCGCAGTCCGTATTTCACTTTTGCCCCTCCATTTTTTTCGACACTTTTTTTTTTCTGCCATGGGGAAAACAAAAATACCAATCAGAAAATTCAGCATGTCGAAGGCAGGCAGGTGGGGTACCCCTGTGTAAGATTCTAAAAATCGCCGAGAGGTATGTCAAATGGCAGCATTGGCAGGCCAAAATGGCAGGCCAGGCCCGGCCCCAAAGTTACCCAAGGCCCCAAGGCACTCGTGAAATGGGATGCCCCAAACCTCGCTAAACCCCTTCCATCCCTACGAGGGGTCGGAAATCCTTGATTTCGTGCCACTGTGCTCCCGTCCCTTGCATCTCTCCCTGTCCTGTCCTGAGCAGCCCCTCATCACACGCTCCTCTCATACTCATGCTGCTCCTCTCAGTGGTCTCTCACTTATTACGCTCCCACCTCACCCGATGAGTGGGCTTTGATAAGTCTCCCGTCTCACAAGTCTCTGCCAGACTGCCACAGCTGCTGCCCCTCCTCATGCAGCCTGTACGGATACTCTGCAGAGCCTGATAATGAAAGAGGGGTGAATCTCGTACACAGCGGAATCGCGGATATACTGGCTCACACTGTGTCGTCAATCAGGTAAGGTGAGCCCTGCTTGCGCTTGAGTGAGAGGTGGTCGCTGGTAAGTTTTGTCTCTAGCAGCTGTCGGGCGTCCTGGGCAGCGTCCTGGGCAGCGGGCTCTGTCTGTCCATGTAATGTCTGAATAATTTACCTGAGGTTACACCGTACGAGCGCTCTTTGCATGCCCATAATCCGCGTATTGTTAACCCTGTGTTGGGAAGTCTCGGCTACATATGCCTCAGTTTCGTACCCCGCGATCCTGGCATGGCCAGTGGCCACTTGTTGCTGTTGATGGTCGTGCGTCCGTGGGATGACACATGCCTTACTGTGGTCCCTTCGCACTGCTGGTGTCGGTGGTGTGTGCTTGGTTCTAGCTCCAGCTCCGGCTTTAGCTTCAAAAAGCTCGTGAACTTGCTGCAGATCATTGGCGGAACACCGACATTCGAGGATGGCTCTCAGAAAGCTTGCCGTGTCATGGTGTCTCGTCGTCACCCTCTCATTCGATTCAAGAACCATCTGCCTTGAACGTCCTGCCCGTCTGCTGCCCCAGGGCACAGGCACACAGGCTGATAAACAGCCCTGTCGGAGATGTCATCAAAGTAGGTTTAAACCGAACCGAGGCTTGGACGGCCCCTCCAGATCGACAGCATCCCCCTCATCAAAAGGTAAACCCCATTCACGGAAGAGAGAAGACCAAAGTGACGAAAAAGCCTTGATCATCGGCTCCGTCCTTTTCAACCTCCTCTTCACCCCAAGCTCCTTTTCGTGATATCTCACTGGAGGAATAAACGCACAAATCCCACGAGTTTCATTCCACTTTCAAGTTTCGGAAACGCATTTAGCCATGCCATCCAGGCGAACCAGAGCAGAGGATTGGTTCGTTCCATCGAGATGCACTTCCGGTCCGGTCAGATCTGCCGCGTTCAATCTCGGCCAGTCTTCCCTTTCAGGTTGGTGGTAAGCTTTTCGCCCGGGCCTGTGAAATCATGTAGACCGGATGAACCCGGTCACCCATTTCAACCGACGGCCACTTCGCTTCGTACTTTGCTACGCCGGCAGCCCTTCCCTTATCCGCGACGCTTGCACAACTGCCAAGAAATTTGCCCTGGCCTACTGGCCTTCCGCACGTCGTTCAATTCGATGGTCTTCGCTTGTGCCCGTTGTCGCCGCAATTGTTGGTTGGCAACGATATTCCATCGAATGTTCTCTCGCTTAGCCAGCCATTACGCAACAAACGCGCAACAAATTGGGTGCACTGTGCAACTAAATCCATGTCTGCTGCAGCTGCAAGCTAGGTATCGTTAACTGTGGTTTGTGTCCAACCACTGCAACGCAGCAAACGGGCTTCCTCGCGGACCTCGTGGGCTCCAGGCGCATAGTCCGCAGGCCTGTCACCCGAGAAATGAAGCGGCGATGGTCGCGACCTGCCCGAAACAGCTCCATGGGCGGACGCCGGGAAAACATGACGGCGCCATTGCATCTCTGCAAATGTGAAGCATTCTCGAATGCGACTTGTGTGGAGTCTCTACCGGACCACTGGCCTCTTCGAGGCCGCACCTGCGACCCAAGACGCTAGAACGGCATGTAACCACAAACCACCGCAGTAATATGCAGGAGAGCCCGTAAGTCATAGGGGCGGCGCGGAGACCAGCAATGGGGCCTGCTCATGGATACCGGCATTTGTCCGCTAGATTGTCTGCCACATATCTCTCGAGCGGAGACGTGGCATCGACTGGCTACAGCAATCAACAGGGCTCGCAACGCCTAACAGGCATCGGGTGCGAAAGATCTTGTGGGCTGCTGGGACGAATTTGCAGCTTCTACCAACAGCGGAACACCGAGCACCTTCACCAGGCCGTGCAGAGAGAGTCGCTGACCACGTGCGACATGCTTTTGAAAGCTTGGCTTTGCGTTGCTGCGTGTGTTGTCGAGAGCAATTCTGGGCCATCCTAAGCAAGTACAACGCGACAGCCAGGTTGAGCACCGGATATCCCCAAGCTCCCACATATGCTTTCAACAACAGATGGTGGTACTCCTAGCCCCGTCTGTGATAAGTCGGTTTCCCTCAAGTCTGGTATTGCAAACGTGGCGCTTTGTGGTCATCAGATTGATCAGTGGTCCGGTGTTTCCGCGGGTATGCAAGGTCGAGGGGCGAGATATATATGAAGCCCGGCATTGCCAATTCGAGCCTCAACCGAGCTCTTGCAGAGTCAGAGACAAGACAGCTTTGTGGTCGACGAATCAACCCATGTCGCAGTCTACCATGACGATCATTCGCTAGGGTCGGTGACCGTTGAAGAGCTGCCGGGCCGGACGACCGTAGTCCGTGGGGAACTTCGGGGGGCCCACTGACCAGAGCGTGTCTTCAATCTTATTAGCCTTGAAACGTTTGTAAGTAGATATATCGGAGTAGCCGTGCAGGCCCACCAGTATCCGTATCACGAGCCATTCCAGCCGTACCAATTGATCGAAGCCTCGAAGGCATGTTGCTCTGCGTTTCCATCCTGCGCCCCGCCGAAGGTCTTCTCACTGCAGAAGTGGCTCCGATGCAGTCAGTCTCCATTGCAGGGTTTGTGCAAGGAATCAGACCGCCGGCCATTGTGCTTGGGTCACCCCGAAGTTGCAGTAGTACCGAGAGCTGCGAATCAATAAGGAGTAGGAAATAGGGCTTTTGCAATTCGAAAACATTGCATGATAAGGTACAGTTCGAAATTGACATCTAGAAACCCTCGTCGAGGAAGTTTGCATCAGTGGATATTCGAGGAGAGCATGCTATAAGGTGGCTGAAGCAAGAGCTCTGCAAGTTGAGAAGTGGCTGGCGGGGAATTCAGCCACAGCTGCACGGATCATTGAGTGGCGGGTAGATCGATCTGAAAATGTCTTGGCACGACGCGCTTCAGGGAAGGCGCGTCTTAGTTTGGCGTCCCACGCATCCACGTGAAACCCAGCTTCAACCTAACTGACATCCACACAACCCCAAGCAGGCTTCAAAGTGTCCTGGTATAACTGCCGTCGTAAACCATGGAGAACTGGTCGCCGGAAGGCCGGGCGGCTATCCAAGATGCCTTCGAAGCATTGCGTGAAACAGTGAGCAAGCAATTTGACAACGGTATGTACACGTAGATGCCCTGACGTATTGATAATGTGATACTAGCTTCTCAACAGAGGTCGAGCAGAGGCTTAAGGAGGACGATCGATCACGCGCATTCCTCACAGATGAGCTCGAAATATTGAGGTCTCGGTCCGACGAGGTTGATCGCCTGGAAGAGGAAAATCGGAAGCTGAGGACGAAACTCCTCCAAATCCATCAGCAGAATCGTTCCGTGGAGTCATCTCGAGGAAGCCCTCGGCCGACGTATGTCACCAGTGACCAAGCCACCAACACAGACCCCGCGTCTGCAGATGCATCTGGAAATGGAGGCGACCTAGAGAACGTGCTGCGGGAAAGCCACAAGCTACGGCGGAAATATGCTGCCCTGGACCAGAACTTTAGGATCCTGAAAGCAGAGTTCAATAAGAGAAGGGACGAGAGGAAGGAGGAGGTCAAGAAATGGGAAGACTATGCGACAGAATTGGAGACGAAGATCAAAGTTCTGGAGCAACGTGATGGTGATGCTGATGCTGCGGCGTACACAGCAGAAGCCCTTCCGGAACAAAGTAGGCCGCGCGCTCACTTAGCTTCGAGGTTCACAATCGATCCTGAATCCGGGATCTTGACGACACCCAGCAACCCGCGGGATTTGCGACAATATTCTGCCGAGAGAGCTCCTGTGCAGCCAGATGACGTTGAGACGCAGGATTTGCCTGCCACAGATTCTACGGAGGGAGAGACGACAGAGGGCAGTAAGGACGCTGATGTTGTTACTCTTCCACCGCTGAGACAGACCGCCAAAACGGATTCAGATATTCGTATCAAACCGGAGCCCTCATCCGACGGGCCTGTTATCGTCTCTGAGCGCCATGTAGGCAAGAGAAAGCACGTCGATTCCTCCTCAGAACAACAAGGACGACGCAGGGTGAAGATTGAGAGCTCGAATCTTACTACCGGCCCTTTCACCAGCCAGCTTCAACAAGAGAGTATGGACCTGGATGAGGTCGGTCAGAGACTAAGCACGCCACGGAAGAATAGATTATTGGCCGATGCCCTGGCTACGCCTGGTCAAAATGACATGGAGCGAGCTCAGGCAGCCGCTCCCGTCTTTGTCAGGCCCGACAACACCAACACTCCGACCACCAGGATACCCAACTCACCAGCGGTTCTGACACCAGTCAACCCTAACGCTCGTCCGGTGCGCCCGTATGGGTTGAACACCGTGGAGAAGCCAATAAGGAAAGGGCTCGCTCAAGGCATAAGGAACCTAGCCGAGGACGGAGTTGTTTATGATGAGACAGGTTGTGGAGAGCCGGCCGGGCTTTTCCGCACTCCGCAGCCTCCTGGTCGCTTGAGTACGCTGTTGAATGCACCATCTCCGGAAAAAGCTCCTGCCATAGTACGGTCAGCACCTCGTCTTCGGGATACAGGCCGAACGGTGGAGGATGGACCCCAGTTTCCCGAGCGTCGGGAATTGCCATTCAACAAGGAGCGCCGGGACAGGTCGAAGGAAGCTCCCATCGGTCGAAGGGAGCACGAAGAGAACACGGAGCCTGCCACAGCTCGCGGGCAGTCCCGAAATCGTGCGACTGTCGGGGCACAGCCGTCGCCCCAGAAGGGGTCATTAAGGTATAAACCTGCCACTTCCCTACGGCTCGAGGACTTCAAGGTCAATCCAAAGTTCAATGGCGGTTCCGACTATGCATTCTCGGAGGTGGTCAGAAACAGAGATGACAGAGCCTGTCTGCCCGGTTGTACAGACATGAATTGCTGTGGCCCTCAGTTTCGCGCCATGGCTTTGGCTCAAAAGAACAATGTCGAGCGCACCCCGGTATCAGACACCAAATTGTTTGAGGATTATCTCGGTGACAGAATCACCATCATCTTGGGGATGTCCAAGGCAGAGAAGGAAGACTTGTGGATAGAGGCTAAAACATGGCAACTTGCGAATGAGTTGGGCAAACACCGTCATCGTTACTCTCGAAGGGCATCTCCTCCGGGCTTTTGGAACGCGGATTTCCCTACTACGCAGGAAGACGAGGCGGAGAGGGCAGAAGGCGAGAAAAGGGAGAAGCAAATGATTCAAGAACGATATCGGGAAGCGATAAGAGGAGGGGGGCGCTGGATCTTCAAGGATGAGTGAGGTCGCTGTCGAGGATGGGTTCTCAGCGAGGTGCACAGGAGCATTGTGTTTGAAACAGCAGATGTACATGTTCTAGGCGCAAACTGAGTCGTCGTAACAAGACTTCCAATAGCGTCGAGGCCATGCTAGCATGCATTGTCTATTGCGGAGGGATGAGCGACTGGAATTTCCAAGACTCCAATAACAACAAGAAGTTAAAAGGTAGCTGCGCAGACTCGAGCTATGGATCACCCACAACGCGTGAATCCTTGAGTCCCGTCCGGACACGGAAGAGTGAATGTTGTCCAGCCTCACCGAGCTCACCTCTAAGCCTGTGGGGTGTGTTCACCGGTCAAGCCAGCTATAGTGGGGCCGATTTCGGGCAAATTGCGGAAGAAGAGGCCCAATTCCAGCCTGCGATGATCGAATAGTGATCTGTGCACGAGGCTTCGGCTCAGGCAATCGCATTGCGCCAACAAAGCCCGGAGCCCGCTGCCCGCTAGCTCCAGGTTTACGGTTCTACCTCTCCCGCGCGCGGCTTAATTTTTTGTCATCTCCATTGGAAGCAACCGCACAGCTAACTTCGCAGCCGTCGTCCCGTCCCAGTCCTCGACCCTTCACCGTTGCTGGCTTCATCGCAGCTCGCCCCTCCGTGTCTGCGCGATTAATCACCTGTGTCGAGCAACTTGTTCATTTTATTTCTCCCCTCTTTGCTCGTTCGGAATACTTAAGTCGGGCCCATTTTCTTCCCAACGGTTCCCCGCAACCTTCACGAGAGCGACGCACGACTGAAGGCGATTGGAAATATTACCTTCTCGTGCATCTCACACGATTAAAACAACCTAATACTCGATAAACGAACCGACCTCCGACCAATCTGTCGACGCTCCATTGCGAACGCGCCGACAACCGTGTTGAAGGAAGCCGCAGATTCAAGGCAGTGATAGTTCCAGCCGTGGACGATCACTGCAAATACACGACTCCCAAGCCGGCAGGATGAACAATCGTCATCTGCCGGCTGGGCAAGCCATGCCGGGGGGCGGAGGGCCAGGAGGAGGTGTCGACATGGGTGGTGGTCCCGGAGGAGGTAACAGACGGAGGATGCAGCAACAACCGACGTATGCGCAATACCAGCAGTATCAACAGTATCAACAGCAGCCCATGTATCCAAACTACATGAACCCCTACGCTCAGCCGACGCCGTACTACCACCAGCTGCCGCATCAGTACCAGAACGGAGGCATGCCGTCTGGCTACATGCACTATCAGCAACAGCAGCCCTATGTACGGTCACCACAGGCAATGCCTCAACCTCAATATGTCCCCATGGCCGGCGTGAGCGTTCCCCAGCCGTATTCGCAACCGTCGCCTGCTCTGTCAACGCCGTATCACCCGCCTCCCGTCCCTGCTGCCAACCCTGTTCAGACGCCTCCGCCTCCTCCGCTTCCACACGTTGAACCTACGCCCGAGCCTTCAGTCGTCACACCTTCGGTGGTGTCCTCGGTCGTATCTTCATCAGTCGTCACGCCTTTCGCTGAGCCATTCCACCCGGCCGCGGCGCCCCCAGCCCCTGCCTCTGCCACTGCTCCCGAGAGCCCAGAGCTTCCCAAAGATGTAAAGGAATTCCGCGCACCAGTAAGTCCAACAAATCCTATTCATGTTGGCTTCGTAGCTAAACAAAGAAAGCTCCCTTGGACACCTCCCGACCAAGCACCGTTCCCTAGAAGGGCTCCCAAGTCACGGCGACGCAGAAGATTGATGAGCGCGAATGCTCAGAATCTGACACTGCCTGTGGAGCAGCACGAGGGCGCTCTCGAGTCGGCCACCAAAAGCGGCGTGGAGGACAGCCTCCGAGCGAAGGCCGATTCGAAGAAAGCCGCGCCCTGGAGCTCCAAGGACACCGACTCTGAGAGCGCTACCCTGAGAGCAGACTCCCTGACGTCTGAAACTCCTAAGGAGAGTGACAGGTCAGCGACTAGCGTCTCAAACATTGGTAGCCCGAAGGTGAATGTGCCGGGATCTGAGGCCAGACCCACGACAAGCAACTCGAACGCTTCGACGTCCCGCCCTGCCGTTCCTGTCGTCCCAGTCATCCCAGCTCTCCCAAAGAGCAGTCCCAAAGAGGCTAAGGCAACAAGCGTCAGCCAGGCCGTAGAAGAGCCCAAGCAAGCTGCATCTCAAGAGGCGAAGCCTGCTGAAGCAACAGAGGGCACGGAAGTTTCTAGTGCGGAGCAAGAGAAGCTCGAGGCTCCTCCGGCAGCTCCCGCCAAGGCGGCCCCGAAGTCATGGAGCGGACTGTTCTCCGCAGCCGCCGCCGCCGCTGCTCCCAAGGCGCAGCCCACTGCCAACGGCCCTGTTGCTCCGGCGGCGGCCAACGGTGCCACCACAAATGGCGATGGTGCTGTCAACGGTAGCGCACCCACCTTCTCTGCAGGAAACACAAACTCCCTAGCATCTGCCATCCAAGACTTCCGCGTTAGCAATGCTGCCAAAGTTCAGTTCATCGAGCCGAGAGGCCTGATCAACACCGGCAATATGTGCTACATGAATTCAGTCAGTATCCTGTATCTACGAGCCGAGAAATTTACTAATGCCAGTTTAGGTTTTGCAAGTTCTTCTCTTTTGTGCGCCATTCTACAACTTCCTGGATCAGGTCAGCAAGAAGGCTGTACATAAGTTCAAGAGCGACACGCCCGTCATAGATGCCATGATTATGTTTATGAGGGAGTTCCGGGTCATCGACTCGACTGAAACGGTCGAGAAACTGCGCCGGAAGCTGAAGAGCGAGCAGCTGGAGCAATACGGTGATTCGTTCATTCCCGAGTTTGTGTACAAGGCCATCCAGCCTCTCCCGGCGTTTGCTAGCATGAGGGTACGTTACGCCGTGGCCCATTCTCTTACATGTCGCTAACTTTTTTCTACAGCGTGGACACCAGCAAGATGCCCAGGAGTTCCTGGGCTTGATTCTCAACGCCATCGACGAAGAATGCGCGCAAGTGATTTCATCGAGTGGCTCTACCAACGGGGCCGCTGAAACCCGGCCTACATCCTCCGCCGCCAGCGTTATTGAGTCGAACGACGGCGCGGATGGCTGGTTCGAAGTTGGATCGAGACAGAGAGCAGTCGAGACTCGCTCATCCGGAGCCAGCTCGACGACGCCCATCACTCGTCTATTTAGTGGACAGTATCGATCAGAGCTTCGCCGTCCTGGTGTGAAGGACTCGGTGACTACCGAACCTTTCCAATCCCTCCAGCTGGATATTGGTGCACCGTACATTCAGAACGTTGTCGACGCGATCAAGGGTCTGACGGTGCCCGAGAGGCTACAAGGCGATGCTGCCCCCATGACGAAGCAGACTCTGATTGAGACTCTGCCCCCGATTCTCATCCTTCACTTGAAGCGCTTCAAGTTCGACACCGAAGGAACGACCAAGATCGGCAAGAAGGTCGGTTACCCTCTCGACTTGCAGCTCCCCGCGGAAGTTTTGTCAAAGCGACGACGTAACGCTCTTGTCTCCGAGGGTGCTGGCATGCCCAAGTACAGGCTCATCGGTGTTGTCTACCACCACGGCAAGCAAGCCAACGGCGGTCATTACACCGTGGATGTGCGACGGCAAGACGAAAACGAGTGGATCCGTCTGGATGATACGATCATCCGGCGTGTCCGCAGCGAGGACGTGGCCGAAGCCGGTGCGGAGGAGGATGCCAAGGATGCCGGTCGATCGGGCCCTGCGTCGCGTGACGCGTCGACCAACCGGTTCGGTGCCATGGCAGACGACGACGAGGGTGATGATTGGAAGGAGGTCACCACTTCTGCCAAGGGCGGTGATAAGGGCGGAGAGAAGAAGTGGAGCGCCGTCGCCAACGGCAATGGCACCGCGTCCAAGGGCAAGCCGGCCAAGGACAACATCAAGGACAACAAGGTTGCCTACCTGCTATTCTACCAGCGAGTCTGAGCCGACGAAAGGGTAGTCTGGGATCCCAACATTCAACAGCAACCGTCGCGTCGACAGTCGCGCGTGGGGATGAGAACGTTCAGGTGGTGGGCCTGCTTCAAAGGGCGCAGATTGAGCCATATCAAGCAAGAGTTTGAAGTCTACAAAGTAGAAAAAGGTGAAGAGGGGAGAGAGAGAGATAGAGAGGATGCAGCTGGGGTGTGCTGTGGTTGTCTCAAATCTAATTTGACTACACACTCGAAGCGGTATTTCAGCATCTCTGGTAGGATTGGAGGGGGAGAGAGAAGGAAAAAAGCAAAAGTTTACTAGTCATCTGCAAAAAATTTGTAGATGTCTTTTTTTACGGTAGTTAGTGATCCAAGCTAGGAGGTGTGAGACGGTGGTTGGGCTGGAACTTGGGGACGCGGCGTGGGGAAGGGTGGGGGGCGGTTTTTTTTGTCTTTGGGGCGTGGTTCGTCCCGGAGTATGGGGAAAGCTGTGGAAAGGGATCAATGAGATAAGGAAACACGGACCGGGAGGTCTCTGTAACAATAAAACACCATTGATGACGATCTTGGTGGTGTTTCAATCGCTTGGTGATATGTGTGTGAGATGAGTGTGTGTTGTTCCCATCTTCTCCGGTGTAAGCCGCCGGAGCTGAAGTTTTCCATAAGAGGAAAGTGGGGGGGTTGGGGGTTGGGGGTTGGTTCGACTCTACCTTTTACCTTTGGTTGCGGGAGGAGGTGGGATGGATGATGAAATAAGCAGTTTGCACACAAACCACTCAGAAGTCGTTGTTCCTCTCTCTGTCTCTCACGCACAGCATCGCCAGTTCAGTAGACATATACATCCAGCGCACACCTTCAAATTTTTCCATATCCAGACCTCTTGTAAAAATTCTAAACCATGGCCGAACCCGCTCAAACCCCGCAATACATTTACAAAATCGTGCCCGAGGCGCCGCCGTCGCCGCTGCCGACCGAGTTCCGCCTCTCGGACCTTGATCGTAACGATGGCTTTATTCATCTGAGTACGGCGGAGCAGGTATGAATGATCTCTCTCTCTCTCTCGCTTTTCTCCTTCTTCTTATCCTCAGTTTGTCTTGGTTCATGTCCCCTCCACCCTCTATCTCTGTCCCTCTCTCCGCGCACTTCCCTCTCGAGTCTATGACCTCCTAACCTTCCGCTCTCGAGTTTTACCCTTCACATTCGCCTTCAACTCTCATACTCACAACCACCACCACCACCACCACCACCACATCATTATACAACATGACTCTATACAACTCCCCGCAAAAAACACTCTCACCCCATCTTATACTCCTTTAACAACCTCCAACCCAGAAGACCTCGCCGTCTGAACCCCCTCAATCATCCTCCCACATAATAACAATACTCTCAATAACCCCCTCTTTCCTCCCCCCTGAACCAAACTACCTGAAATCAAACTTACAATGAAAACAAAAGGTCCTCAACACAGCAAACCTCTTCTTCTCAACCGCCACAACCCTGTACCTCCTCAAACTCCCTTACGCGCCCCTCGCCGCCTCGGGCTCGATGAAATGGGAGTTCCCGCCTTCAGGCAAGTTCCCCTCCGCCTTCCCGCACCTGTACGGACGCAACTTTGGCGCCGCCGACGTCGAGGACGCAAAGGGGTTCGAGAGGGCCGAGGGACAGGTGTGGAGTGAGGTTTTGGGTGGTGATGCGTGGCTTGTTTGAGGGGACGTACGGAGGAGGTGAGTGGCCAAGAAGGAGAGAAGAGAAGTTTCCTTTCGGGAGGATGCTTAGTTATGTCTCCCTATGATTGTGGAAAGGGGATGTTTCTCCGAGAGGATTTCAGCATGAAAGTAGAGAGGGAGATTGGGGACGCAGGACGGAGTAGACACGGGAACTTTGGACGGTCTCGACCATTAGATGGGGGTGCAATTGCTTGCCATGGATTTGTTTCTAATGCCATCCGCTATCGCAGGGAGCCCCAAAAAAAAGGCTCCCTCACATGATCCGAGTTGCAAACAAGAAGGACAAAAGATTCTTTTCCCCTCCCAGAGGAATTTTTACTACCGCCGTCGAAGAGCCAACGTTTGCATAAGAAATCTCAGCGCGGTCCCTTTTGACTTCTCATCTTTGCTCCGTCCAACATGAAAAGACTCATAGCAGCCTTAATCTCATATCAAAAAAGAAAAGGAAAAACGTGTGCAACGTTATAAATCATGCCTCCTTCTCCCCATCCCAGCCAGCCGTGTGTATACCCACGAGGTATCCTTTGCCAAAGCCCTCCGAGCCGACATCCCGCACATGCAAGACAGTAAAGAAAAAGAGAATAAGCCTAAAATGAATGTACAGCCCGGCGATGGCCGAGATGTTACGGCCCTTACTATGATGACCATTTGACGTCCGAACTTGGAGCTCTGCTTCGCCGCTTGTTGGCCATGCTCGTTGGTAGAACAGGTGATGCAGCCGGAGCTGATACGGCCGATGTGTTTCTGCTGAAGTTCTCTTTATTCGACAGAGAACTCTCGGATCTAATCAAAGGAGGCTGCCCAGATGCGCTGCTGGGTCTCGCAAACGAGTGGCGAGGCAACCTGCTTTTGCCCGAGGATGGCCCTGTAGGCATACTTGAGGACATCTCGCCGCTGACCCGCCTGGGAATGCTCGTTGCACCTTCCCTGCTCCGAGGTCGGTATAAGATGGCCTCACGCTCCTGAACAGCAGTCCTTCTCGGACTCGCGGCCACTTCAATATACGCGCCTCCTGACCCTGGCGGTATTTGTGAAAGCCGATGATGGCGGGACTGAGATTGCGTCGGTGTGGCAGGCATCGACATGGCATGGTGAAGTCCAGGCGGCGTATAGGACGATTTCCGTCTGGGTCCGGACCCCGAGCGTCGGGATGCTACCGAGCCAGAAGAGCCCTTTCTCTCCGAGGGCATATCATAAAGCTCGCTATCGTTGTGCGACTTGACAAGTTCAGATGCGAGATTTCGAACCAGCACAGCAGTGTCCTTGTCGGCCAGCATTTGGATCGTATCAAACAGAGACCTGACTTGCTTAACATTCAAGGAGCTGCTTCCGTTACCCATGCCCAGCATCTCCGGCTCGCATGCGTCCATAATGTTGCGGACTAGACGGAGTAAATTTAGCCGTACAACGGCCTTTTTGTGGCCTAATCTTTGACCAATGCCGGCAAACATCTCCGGCTTGGCCAGTGAGCCTGATATCGAAGGGCTCAAGCGCAAAAGCTTCAGCAAGGGCTCCAATAGGTTGGCATCGAAAGAGTTGAGCTTGTTTGTGTGGAAACAGGCAACGATGGCGTCTGTAAACTTGCCGTCGAGCAAGTGACTCTCGACTTTGGCCGTTTCTTCCTGAAGCCAAATAAAAATTGCATCCAGCGCCGTAACCTGCCAGTATTGGTCGGCCAACAGTGAGACGTAAAAGTCCAGTCCCTTGTTCTGCCAGAGGTATCTGCGACCCTTGCTTCCCGAGTGGGCCATGTCGCATAGTATGGGCAATGCGAACTCCTTTGGCGGCCGATCTGTGTTCATGATTTTCATGAGCAAGGGAATGATACCACCAACAGCAGCGTCCTCCTGTCGCTCCTTGCTCAGACGGCAGAGGTTGAATAGGGTATTGAGGACCTGGTTGGAGATCTCTCGGAAGTGCTGGTGTCCCCTCTTCATGCTGTAGCCGAGAACATCAATCAAAAACTCAATGGCGTCAGCTGTGTGCAGCGTTTCTATCGTCGTAGACAGCATGGAAAGGTTCTTGATGAATTTCAACATCGTGATTTGGTGATTTGGTGTCATTCGTCGCAAATCCTTCAGAACGCCTGTGAAGTTATTAGTAAATGACATGGCTGAATCTGATAGGAGACTTACTCTTCAACACTTGCCGATCAGCGACAACTTCCTTGACGTAATTCTCAGCCTGAGAAAATAGGTAAAAGATGTTGACAATCCGGCCCTCTATCAGTTCGGAGAGCTCATCTTCTCCCTCCTCATCGAGGACCCTGTGGAGCACCAGAGCAAGGGGATAGAGAATCTTGCTTCTCGAAAAGATTCTGCAAAAGTCGTTCTTCGGCGTTGGGCCCTGAAGCTCAAAGACGTTCCAGATGCCGTTGACGCCAATCAAGACTAGATCCCGAGCATCGTCAAAGTCTTCGTCGAGGAACTCGACTAGGACATTCAAACCACCAGCGCTGACGAACATCTGCAAGGTCAACGTTGACGTCTGGTACATTTGCCGAACGAAAGCTGCTGCTTCGAGTCTAATTTCGTTGGAATACTGGCGGGCCGAGAATTTAGTGATGATCGGAATGCCACCGACGAAGCAGAGATTTTCCTGGATCTCGACATCGTCCAAAATAATCTATCAACGATTTAGCATGGTACCAACGAATGCCACAAGGAAAATGTAACGTACAGTGTTGACGACCTTCAGGAGAGACAGGATCATCTGCTGCCTGCTCTTAACTGTACACGGCTCGAGAAGCTCCAAAATCGGCAGCAAGCCATGAGCACTGAGGATGAGATCTTTGATCTCAGTGTTTTCCCATAACAGGGCGAGCTGAACACATCAGTAAGACGCCTCGCAGGGCACAAAGGCTTGGAACTCACCAGGTCTTCAGATAGCTCGCACAGCTTTTCCTCTCCTTCTGACGTTTTCAAAGACCGCACGAGCTCTTCTACCTTTCCTGCCAGCCTGGCGTGTCTGTCCCTGGCGATATTTGCTTCCAGGTCCATTTCGTCCCACCCTGGGTCCATGGACGCAAAAGGATCGTCCTCATCCTCGTCGTCTCCGAGCCACGAGTTGTTGGAATACTTGGACAACACCATGAGGCCGCCATCTTCTGAGCCTCTGTCACTCTCCTCCCTCTCTGTGACCGCATCTTCGGGACCGAAAATGTCGGAGAAATCTTCGTCACCTTCATCCTCGGCAAATTTTTGAATTTCAATCGATGATCTCGTCCTTCGCATGGGCCGATCAGGCAAAACCGAAGGCCGCAGCTTCGCGCTAGGCGGCCGTCTCGAGCTTCCCGGGACAGGCGATTGTGTCGAACGAGGCAAGCTTGTGAGATCTGAAGGGTGAAATAGCTGAGGAGAGTCGACTTTTTTGATGAAAGGGTTCAGTCCACCATCGTTGAAATCGTTTTCCATGAACAAATCCGAGTAGTCTTCTGTGTTCTGTTCCCTGAAGGCCAAATCTGGAGGAGCTGGTATCTCAAACTTGCTGGGTCCTAACTGCGGCTTGACGGGAGATTTGGGACGAGACGGGTTTCTCGCATGGCCAGCCTTTCGCGGACTTGGCTTGGGCGGCGACTGCTGCTTCATCGGCTCTGGGTACTTGTCACTCTTCTTGCGAGGTGTCGGACGAATTGTCTGTTCCTGGAACTCGAAATCTGTAAACTGCCCCGGCCCCTTGATAGTCAAGAGTTCCCCTTCAAAGTCGTCATCGTAACTTTCAGAATCGTTGCGAGCATCCGTGAGCGAAGCAAATGCTTTGAGCTTATCTGCAGAGAGCAACCCGCCAAAGTTGTCTTGTGGCTTCAAATGAGGCAAGTGCAGTGCGCTCGGAGAAATGGCCGTTGCAAAGTCGTTGTCCCAATTGTCGTCATCTACTCGCAAGTCAATATGCCGTCTTTAATCGGACTAGAACCACAACATAATGATTGCTTACCAGCAAGCTCTGGAGACCTAAAGGCTTCGGGTGTTCGTCTCGGTTTCGCGAGAGCCAGAGGTCCTTTGGGCTGAGTGATCAGGCTCGGTCGGAGCGGTTCGTTGGCGCTGTATCTCGACCCGGGATGACCTTGCATCCCGGGAACCCCGCTGTCGGAACCGGTGGACGCCCTAAGTGAGCTCTCGGACGACTTGAGAGCCTTATTCCACTGTTTTACTTCCTCCACAGCTTGACTGAAATTAGCTGGCGCCTTGGAAACGGGGGCATCGCTTCTTCGGCATCCGATGATCCACGCGTGTCGTAAAAGTTTTCTCGCCGTGACTCTTAGGTTTGGATCTTTTTGGAAGCACTGCATCAAAAAGTCGCGAGACGCCTATGTCGTGTTAGTCATACGTGTCCCAGGCGGAGAAAAGGGGGGCACGGGGCGCAAACCGGTGAAATGCCCTCAGGCAATGGCGGATGGTCATCATTAACAATGGCAAAAAGCGCGGGCATAGCTGCAAGATTATGATACGGCGGCCTGCCCTGCAGTAACTCAATGACTGTGCAGCCAACACTCCAAATATCAGACGCAGGACTGGCGCCGGAAAGTTGAATGATTTCTGGTGCCATCCAGTAGGGAGTACCAACGACCTGTGCTTCCTTGTCTTGCCCGCCTGCGAGTGTGCTCGTCGAAACTCCAAAGTCTGCGAGCTTGACTTTGCCGTCCTTGGTGGTGAGGATGTTGGCGCCCTTGATGTCTCGGTGGATAACGCCCTGATCGTGAAGATACTGCAATCCTTGCAGAACCTGTGTCGTGTAGACACCGACCAAGTTCTCGGGGAACTTGCCATATGACTTGCATATTGAGTGCAGAGAGCCATTCTCACAGTACCTGGACCAACATGTCAGCTATGATCGGATGAAGTCAGAAATCAAAGCTCGACCTACTCGAGAATGATGTTGAGACAGTCTGCCGATTTGACGAAACCAATGTACTTGACAATGTTGTCATGCTACAAGCACTATTAGCTCAAGCGCCCCTGTATAATTTCTTAAGTCGGGAGCACCTACATGCAAGTTCTTCAAAAGATCGATTTCAGACTAGGTAGGACAAGGTCAGTCTCGGCATCCCACCGACAAGACAAGCGAGTGAGGGGCAAAGTATACCTCAATCATGCGCAACTCGCTCTTGGGCAGATCAGCAAGCTTAATCTGCTTGACGGCAACAGCCTCGCCCGTTCCCCAGTTGAAGGCCTTGTAGACGGAACCAAAGGCTCCCTTGCCGAGGCATTCTCCCAAACGCTGTATCGGGAAACTGGTCAGCTTTTGCGGCCCTCAAGCATGGTTTCTCCTCCCCTAAATACATCTCTTCTTCTTTCCCTCTCGAACGAGTCCTTAGAGCCGGGTATACGCACATAATCCTTCAAACCCGGGTCTTGCAGCGCGGAGCTCTCTCTGGGGCCCTGTTTCTCCTTTCGCGGTGTTCCTGAACTCCTCTCGCGGGAGGCGACCACGGCGGCCCTGCCGTTTACATGGTACTGACGCTCGACAGAGGACGAGGCCGACGACGGCGGCGAGGGATTGGGCATGGTGGTTGGCAGACGGAAGGCCTGGCGCAATCACCAGGCTGATATCTCGTAGTCGGGGGTTCGAGGGTGTCGGCATGAACCGTCGCAAAGCAGAAGCGATTCCGTAGAGGAAGGACCTGGCCTTCTCGAAATAAGGAAAGCCGTGCAAGAGGATCGTGAGGTCAAGCGAGCGGCGGTTACGGCAAAGGTGAGGGCGCGCTGCACATTGCCCGGCAGCAGGACGGCATGCCAGTCGGATGCAGTTCGGGGACGTTATTCTCGGTTCGTCGGGGCTTCGTTCTTCCTTGGTGTCTGCGGTAGAGTAGTCGTTTAGACCACGAAAATGTCGGTGGGCATGCGGCGTGTGAGGAGAGAGAGAATGCCGGTCGAACGAGGGTGGTGGTGACGTGAGGGCGGGCGCGCAACTGGTGGGAGCGATTTCCCCAAACGCGGGAGGCCCAGACTGGTGCGAAATGACGGCAGCGAAAACACACAAAGAAAACAATCGTGGGTGTGTCGTAGGCTACCCTTGGAGGTTGCAAAGGCCAGCCAGCTAGTGCCTGCGCTCCGCGATTCGTAGGCAGGCAGAGGGGCAAAGGAAATTCGGATTGCCGTCCGCTGTCGGGTTTCACGTCGTCGTCGCTGCAGTCGTCAACGACAGCCGGTCGATCGGGTCAGAGGCGGTCGGTCTGCCGGTCGGGAGCGGTGGAGGGGTTTGGGGTGCAAAGGTCGAGTAAATGAGCGAACGGGGAATTGGGCGGCGGGCGGGCGGCGAAGTCGTCGGGGAGGTGGTGGGTTGGTTTGGCAGATATGATGTCGGAGGGGTTCCCGGGGTGTGGAAGGGATGTGGGCATCAACAGACAAATGGAACGGAAAGAAAAAAAAAAACTACACGAGACGAGGTATCAGCACCGCACTCTCTGAGCTGAGGCTGGAGCTTTTGGGGAAAATGATGTTTTTTGTGAGAGATGATGTGTGAGTCTGGGATTAGCTAGTTTTACACACGCATACGCACACCAAACACATCAGGTACAGGCGCGGGCCAGAACAAATGGTACGGGACGGGAGAGAGACGAGAGCTAAGGAAGGTACGGATAGAGAGAGATTCAACTTGCTGGTGCTGACGCACTCAACCGCATTTGGCTCTCTCTCTCCAAGGCACTTCGCTGTACAAGTGGGAAGGGACGGTGGAAACGTCAGGTCGGGTCAGGTCCAGTAGAAGTGGCATTGGGCGAGTGCCATCACTGGTCAGGTAGTCGCAGGGCAGCGATGCACCCAGGTACCTCACCACTATCTATTCAGGCACAATGTTATGGAACTTGATGGCACCAGGTCCCGTCACTATCACAAACACCACCTCGCCATTATTGACGGTACTATCACAATCACCTACCCCCGGGAAAAGCAGATCGATGCAGTGTGATGGCATGTCTTGGCTGCCTCTGGGATTATTTCCCAACTGGCCCTTGTCCATCAATTTGAGCCGGGTGCCATCGGTGCTGAGGAGCAGGCGGGGGCCCTTGGAAGGTGGGACACCTCAAGGCTTGCCCAGGGCAGTCCGGCACGCTTCCATTCCAACTTCTCGCGCTAGCAACGCTAGAAGCTCTCGCACGCCGCCCCAGGGCTCCGCCAGCGCGCTAATACGCACCCGACCTGAACTGGAAACAACCAAAGGATCGTTCCGACCTGAGCTTCAACCTTCTTCCTCTCTCATCATCACTTAGGTTCACCTTGGCTACTTATGAACGGCATATCGAACATGAACGAGCCTAACTCAATTGATCGGCTGTCGACTCTGAACTTCCATCTTTTCTTGGTTCTCCATGGTCAATGCGCTCCATGTCTAGAAACCTTGCCCACGCCTTACACAGACACATTTCATCCTGCATGATCTTCCCCAGATATGGCACGCGCCTACGAAATAGATACCTTACATTCTTTCTCATGATGACAATCTACAAATACACGAATCCACCAATTGTTTTGTGAGCACCGCTCTTCGCCGTGGTAACGGCGTGACAGTGTCTCGTCTAGACAGATCAACATATCCCGTTACGGTAACACGGATACCTACCCCTACCTTCACCCATGTCAGCGACAGGGCCACAAACTCCCCCTCTCATTACCTTACCTTGCCTTACCTGACGTCGTTTTTGTTCTTATTCAATCTCTCGTGGAATTTACTCCGTAATTACCTCACTCTCTTCTTGTTCTTGTTCAGTATCCATACAAATACTGCCCCATCCAAGCGCTTATGAGAATTCACCTGCCAGACAAGGACAGGAGGATGACACTAGCCGCGCTCGCTCACACCCACGTCCACACACACAAGTTCTACCTTAAGGTGAGGTGATCAGCGCGGGAACAAAGCACACTAAGGCACGCCGCCGCCTTCGTCGTGACATGTGAGTGGCCAGTCCCAGCGACCTGCGCCGAGCCGCGAACGTCTTCACCAAATCCCAAGAACCACACCTCTTTTTCTTTCACGATCCTATCCGTACAGTATTTGATTTGCGTAATCATCAATGACTGAATTATCAATAAGAAATAACTCCCTCCAATGCTCCAACATCCCATCTCACTTCTCAAGCATGCTGCCAATATTAAAAGGAACCCAAAACAACACAACACGAGCCTTCCATATTGAGTCGCAAAACACATTCCCGAGCCTCCCCCGCTCTAGAGTGAAGAAAGATATAAACTCCCATACTCCGTAGATCCGTAGATCCACCAGCCGGATGACCAAAAAGAGAAAACAGCAGAGACATGAACATGCCCCTCGCGGTCTCACCTTCTCGACTGAGACATGGGGAGATCACTGATTGAACCCACTCCAAAGTTGGTCACGTTCAATGTCACAAAGCATACCAGGGCACGTCAACCAACAAAAATACGAGCTCTTCGGGAAGAGAGTATGACCAACGGCCACTCCATTTCGTCTTGATAGTTCTCGCCTCGAATAGCATAGATCCTCTGCATCTTTGATCTGTCCTGTCACGCTTCCATCACGATACATGTATTATACAGATGGCCCGCCCAGATACCTGCATGGCGCCCGTTAAAAACCCAACAGTGAGTGACCCTGACCGCCGCCCATGGCAGGTCCTATAAGCCCCTTATACTCCAAACATCATGCCTTGGGAAGCCTCTTCTAGTTCCCAGGCTTTTTCGCTTTTATCCTGTCAAACGTGGAAAAAAAAAATATCATGCATAATCCCGCCTTCTTCAAGATTCCTCTGGCAGAGTCCGGGATAGCCCGGCACCTGCCCACCACTCGTCGGGAATGTCTTGCCGCCGCGCAAGATGCCGTACAATCTCCTGCATGCCCTCCAGCGCGTTGTCGTTGGATGATTCGGTGCGGCTCGGGGGCCCTGCCTCGTCGCCATCCCCTTGGCCGCCTGCATCGCGAGACTCCTCGCTTGAATCTCTGACAATGTGGTCGAGCAACTCCGGTAGCGGGGTGGGATCACGAGTTGCGATTCTGTAGTGCCGAGCAAGCTCCAGTCGCCGGCGACTTCGCATCTCTTCAATGTCGCGGCTACTCATAGCCCTCATAGCCCCATCACCACGAACAAAGGATATTCTGCTCGGATCATTCGCATCCAAGTCGGCGACAAACCGCCGGTGTCTGGACGGATAGTTCATCGTCCAGTGATCGGGCCAGCCCCTCCCCATGTGCAAGTCTTCATGGCCCTCACTATCCGAGTTTTCAAGTCCGGATTCGCAAGGTTGTTCAGTAGACTCCTCAGCCCTTTCGGGTCTATCTACAGACGTTCGAGATGATGCGCCGGCGCTCTGTGATTGCGATGCAGAAGCGGACGCAGACGCCGAAGCAGAGGCGAAGGACGAGCCAGCGCTGGGAGGCTGCGGGTCCGGCGTAAGTGTAGTCAACAGTGTGTCCCAGACGCCATCCTCATCAGGGCTGATGCTTCTGTTACGGTCGCCAAGGCCGTCTGCAAGAGAAGCTTCGATCAAGTGTCCAAATGGACGAATCCGGCGTACCCGCCGCGATAACGATGCGCGGTCAGGTTGCGATTCCAAGTCCGGTCTACGCATACGTCCTGCGAACCTGGCAGAAGTTGCATGCTCGGGACTACGGTCAAAACGTGCTGCAACTGGCGGGGCGGGCTACTTAGTATGTTAGTCAACGGCGTACTCCGAAGTCACAGTCCGACAAAGCCTACCATTGACATGCGATCGAGCTGCGCCCGACGGAATCTCCGTCGTTCTCTTGAGTTGGCGTGTGATGTTGAGCCCTCAAGCTGAGCCCGGTCTGGTTCCTGCCAATTGGCGTCCTCTTCCCCGGTCGGGGGTGTGACGGTAACCCCGCTGGAGAGCCTGGGCATACGGTTCAATACCCATTCATCGCCGTACATGGAGATCAGACGAGCTTCGCTGGGTTCATTGCTATCGGCTTGACGGTTGCGTGCTTCGTTTACACGTTCGATGATTTCAGCAGCCGGATTACGGCGCTCGGGCACCGGAGGGGTCGATCGCGAGGCGGGCGCAACATATGCCTCCGGGGGCGGAGGGTGGCCAGACTCGATCCATGGATACCGGGCGCGCGGAATAGGCTCGGGGCCGGGAGTGGGGTAGTTGTCGCGGAGTAGAGCGGCGCGACGGCGGAAGGGGCGCGCGTCGTCGGTGCGGCGGCTGCGGCGAATGGTAGAGCGAGGATGTCGAGTGGCTGCGGACTTGTCACCGATTTGAGCGGGAACATCTGACTCGACAGGAGCGATGAAGAGCCTGCGGATGGGAAGATGCGATGTTAGTGATGGGATGCGAGGCCAGGGTATGAAGCAGTCTGCATTCACCGCGACTGGGTTGCAACTCGACGGCGACGACGACGACGACGACGACGTGGCCAAGGCAGTCTTTGGAAGCAGTCGACGAGTCGCAAGCGAGCGTATGCGGAGGATTTATGATGAACGAGATGGATATGGATGGAGGCATTGGAGTGGAAGCGATTGCGATTACGCGATGCGACTGGGCAGGCCGAGATTGAGCCAGCGTCCCACAGGCCAGGCGCAAAGGCAAAGGTAATGCAGCGCGACCAGGAAAGCCGCAGGGGTAGGTGAGAAACTTACGGGAGTCCCATTTTGACCGACTAATAGCGCGCGCCCGACGAATGAATTCAAAGGCAGCGGGGATGATAGATCGGTGGCGCAAAGTTTCGACTTGATCGCAAGATGGCAAGATTGATGTGATTGTGGTCGTGATGAGAGTGCTGGACGATGGGGCCGCGATACCGTGTTTCGCGATGGATTCGCGATGGAATTGGCGAGTTGCGTGAAGCGGAAATGGCTTTTCTTCGTGGGGCGGACAGACGGGAAGGCGGGAGCGAGGATTGCCCGGGGACTTTGGGACTTAGGTTGGGGTATTAGGTCAGGTCAGTGACGGATGGGGGACGGGGCCACTGGGGATGGACGTGGATTGACGGTCAAGAACGAAATGGAGCGAGGACGGGAGTCGGGAGGGGGGTAAAAGGCAGAAAGGCTCCGGGACAATTAAAAAACGAAAAAAAGGAACAGGAAGGAAAATGGGAAAAGCGCGGGTCTTTGGGGGAATAGCCGCTTTACTTCTTTTTTGTGAGTGGCTGGCCACGCCATCTCTCCCCGGTCGCAGTCACGGAGTTCTGCCTCTCTGCCTCTCTCTTTCCCCCCCCCTGTGGCGCGGCTTCATCAAGCAAGTCATCTTTGGCCAATCACGGGGGCTTCCCATTTCACGGTTAGTGGTCCGTGGTGAGCCTGCCACTCCTGCCCTCCTCTATTGTCTGCATGCCTGCCTCCAATGGAAGTGTGGCTGGAGCGGCACTTGCTCACTTGGGTGCATTTTGAAATCGAGTACGTACCTGCCTTGGCTCCTGCTCAGGTACGTACTCCTGGCATTATTGCTCCAGCAGGAACCTTGCCCAGAACCTGCTCAGGTTGAGCTTCGTTACTGCCGCGTGCCTGCTTGCACCCAACGGCAGCCGCTCCGTTCACGTTCAGGATCAGATGTAAATGGAAGATTGGAATGCTCAGTCATATTCATTCGCTGACATCGTTCGGCGCCTGTCACGACTCTCATGATCCAAGACCCATCATTCCCACAGACTTGCAGTGACTCACTTCTGAGAGGTTAGAAAAGCAACAACCAGCTGTTGCCGGGCTACGAAGTCCGAACAGCCCTATGCGAAAAGTGTCCGTCGGATCCAGAGCCGAAACCGAGATACGAATAGGCCGTTGGTGATCCTCCGGGCTTTGACACCCGGACGCTGCCATCACTTCGTCACCTTTCTAAACAAACCAAAGACATCGCCGAGGCGAAGGACAGACAGCATGGCAATGAAAGGCATCAGCCTAGGCCTGCATCGCATCTCGCGAGCCCTCGAGGGTGTCCCTCAGAAGTGGGATGCTATTCATGTCGCCGGCACAAATGGGAAAGGCACCACTTGCACATACCTATCAGCCCTGTGCAAGTCTTTCGGCATCTCAAACGGCCTCTTCACCTCGCCCTATCTAATCGAGCCACGCGACGCCATTAAGATCAATGGCACGCCCGTGGCCCAAGACGTCTACGTCGACGTCAACCGCAAGATCCTTGCCGACGACCAGGCCCGCCTATCCCAGGATGCCACCCAGGAGGCCCTCAGCCTCTTCGAGGTGACCACCCTCATCGCCTTTGGCGTCTTCAGCCGCGCCGACGTGCAAATGGGCATAGTCGAGGTCGGTCTTGGCGGCCGCCTCGACTCCACAAACGCCCTCCGCCGTAAAAGCGTCACCGTCATCACAAAGATCGGCCTTGACCACCAGGCCTTCCTCGGCAACACCTTGCCCGAGATCGCCAAGGAAAAGGCCGGCATCATGATGGCCGGCGTGCCGTGCGTCGTCGACGGCAGCAACCCACCCGAGGTCCTCGAGGTCTTCCGGAAGCATGCCGCGAGCGTCTCGGCGCCGCTGCACCTCACCACGAGTCAGCCCGGTCTGCTCGAGACTCTGTACGACTCGGAGCTGATGCCGCATCAGGCGCAGAACATGGCGTGCGCCATTGCGGCTTTCCAGCTCGCTTATCCGCACCTCAATCTTTCTGTGGAAAAGGCACTGCCGATTCTGAAGGACGTCAGTCACCTGGGGAGGCTATCGTGGCTGAATATCGAGGCGAAGCATCCGTCGCGCAAAGGAACCCCCATCCTCATCGACGGTGCTCATAACCCACAGTCAGCCGAGACGCTGTCCACGTACGTCGAGCGACGTCTGCGAGAAGCCGATAAGCCTGTGACGTGGATCGTGTCGGTATCAAAGCAGGACGGAAAGGATGCCGGCGGCATGCTGCGCACGCTGCTCAGACCCGGAGACAACGTCGCCTCCGTGGGCTTTTCTCGCCGAGAGACGATGCCCTGGGTTGAGCCTTTGCCGATTGAGACCTTGAGGGAGATGGCCTCGAGCGCGGGCGCCAAAGAGGTATTTGAAAGCAGAGACGGTCTCGAAGAAGCTACAAGATGGGCTGTCGAGACCGCCAAAGGTGGCTCAGTTGTCTTGACGGGGAGTCTCTATCTAGTTGGTGACGCATATAGAATCTTGTCGTGAACAGTCACTGGATAATCAAAAGTAATTATGAATTGGAAATTTCGCTAGTGTATTGTCTATCATAGATTCCCAATGCCTTTGGAGTGCCATGTAGTAACAGTGCGCGGCGCCAACAATGGTGACAGCTTCATAGCAACGTAAGTAGTATTTAGCACTTTGCAAGCCTTGACGTGTAATGGAGAACTTTCACCGCTACAACATCACATGATCCACAATCTAATGCACATCAAATCCCAATCCCTAAAATACACCAGCACTATTTCCTCGCACGTATTGAAAAACAAGCCTTGAATAAAAGGGGGAGCATATCAAAAGTATCGAAGCCATGACAACAGCACCCGCACCAACCAACCTCATCGTCGTCTGCTGCCACGGCATCTGGACTGGCGGCCCCACCAACGGCCGTGCCGAGTCCGAATGGCTCATCGCCGACTTCCAGGCCAGCGAGACCCCGACGTTTGTCGAGCACATCAAGGCCGGGCTGACGGCGCTGCGAGACGAGTACCCGGCTTCCGCGCTCGTGTTTTCGGGGTACGTAGCTGCAGCCGTAGTCCAACCCACCTATGATTTCTTTCGTTCGAGTGTTTGGAGTATTTGTTGCTCATCAACTGATTTTCGTCATTCTCGTCCGTTTACATTTTCCGACCTAAAGATCTTTGGTTTCTTTTTTGTCGAAACAACATCTTAACCCCCCCCCAAAATTTGTACCAAGCATAAAACTAACGAATCGTTCAATTCCAAAGAGGTCCAACACGCAAAGAAACACGCCTCTCGGAAGCAGAATCCTACGCCAACCTCGCCGCCGCTAACAACTACTTTGGCATCCTCCCTCCTCCCTCTTCTTCCCCCCCTACTAATTCCTTCACCTCATCATCATCCCCTCCCATAACATCCCTCATCCACACAGACACCCTCGCCCTAGACTCCTACCACAATATCCTCCACTCCCTCCTCCTCTTCCGCCGCCTCTACGCAACTTACCCCCAAACCCTAACAATCGTAAGCCACGCCTTCAAAAAGCCGCGCATCGTCGACGGCCACTGCGTTGCTATAGGGTTTCCTTTGGGGAGGATCAGGTATGTTGGGATTGATCCGCCGGGGATGAAGGGCGCTGGTGCTGCTGCTGCCTCGGTCACCACGAACGCTGCCCCTGAGGAGGAGGAGGAGGAGGAGGAGGAGGAGGAGAGAGAGGATGGTAAAACAAACGACGGTGGTGGTAATGATTCCAAAGTGGGAGCCATTGCGGGCGTAAAGCACGCCGCGGACGAGTGGACGGTCGACCCGCATGGCGTTGGGCCGAGTTTATCGGGCAAGAGGAGGGCGAGGAATCCGTGGGGTCTGCAAGATACCCTTTTTGCGAGCGAGAAGGAGAGGATACAGAGTGAACTCGCTACGAGGTTTGTAGACGGGCATGAGGCGCTTGTGGAAGATACAAAGAGGCCGTGGGCTTAGAAGATATGTATACACACACATATATATACGTACATACATATTCAACCCCTCATCTTTAATCCCCTTAACTCCTTGACACACATTACTTTGCTTTGTACGTCTCTCAAATCTTCGGCCTCTCTCCAGCCCCTGCGCCGCCGGCATCCCTCCCAGCAACAGCATCAACCAAAAACCTAACCGAATCCTCCACCATCCCCTCGCTAAACGCGTGCCCGACCCCTTCATACACCTTATTCTCGACCTCGACCCCAGCGTCACGATACCACGTCCCCGTCGCGGCCGTCAGAAACTCCACAAAGGGCGCAGACATGGCGTACGGGACAAGCTTATCCTCGCCGCCGGAGCAGACGAGGAATTTCTTACCGTGCAGGCGCAGACCGTCCAGGACGCCGCGTAGACGCTTCTGCTCTTCGTTGTCTTCGGTGGCGAGACTGTCCGGGGCGGGGACGGCACCGGCACCAAAGAGGATGCCCTTCGGATCGTGACGCAGACAAGAGGCCACAAGGTCGGGCGGGAAGTCCCTGCTACCCAGGAAGGAGGCGCCGTTGTCCTGCACGGAAAAGGTTGCCAGCTTGGATAACCTCGCGCGGTCCGACAAGAGAGCTGTTTGTTTTCCATCACATCGAATCAGCCTGGTTTCTTCCTTTCTCACTCCTCAAACCTCAAAAGACAACATGCCTCCTGTCCGCAAGGGGGGAAAGAAGAAGAAGAAGAAGAAGAAGAAGAGACTCACCCATATAATCAGGACACCCAATAATCACAACCCCAGCCTCAACCCTCTCCTCCCTAAACATAGTCTGCCACGCACTATGCCCGCCCAAACTCACACCCAGCACGAGATGCTTATCAATCTCCCACCCCTCCGCCGCCTTCCCATCCCTCAGCCCCAGCTCCATCTTCACGTACCCCTCCACAACGTCCAAAAGCCCCTTCGTATCCGCCACCATGCCCGAAACCATCCCCCACATGTCCAGCGCGTGCGTCTTGTTCCCCTCGCGCCAGCTATCCCTCGCCGTCGCCGACGCCGTCCTGGTGCCGTGGTTCTGCTGGTCAAACGCCACGGCGATGAGGGCCCTTCCACCGCTGCCGCTGTTGCTGCCACTGCCAGATGCAGAAGATGATGATGACGACGACGAAGACTTCTCCTCCCATCGGGAAATCACCCGGCTCGCGATATCTTCCATATCCTCCTTGGCGCGCAGGCGCGGGTGATGAAGCCACAGGCACGACACCGCCGACGGCCGCTTCTCGCGCGCGATGAGCTCCTCGAGCCCGTAGACATCGCACAAGAGGCCCGACATGTGGATCGTCGTCCTGGAGACGGCGGGCGGCGGGGTGGACGCACGCATCGGGTTGTGCGTTGCTGCCATGGCTGACGTTGCTGTACCGAGGTAGTACGCCGAGGACTTTAGGTATGGGTAGATGGGGATGATTCCTTCAGGAAAGGAAGAAATGATGTTGAGAGACTACTGAGAGAAGCGGAGTTTGTGTGGGATGGAGAGGTGTAAGTGAGAGGGGAGGTGAGGTTGGAGTTGCCGAGGCCCCAGAAAAGACGGAGTTGCGACGGAGCGAGCGCAATGTCAAAGTGGATGCGCCCGGTGGTTGTGGTCTAGCAGCTTACAGCCCGTCCGAACCTCAACGCCGATCATGTAGAGACCAAATTTGCATCATGAACCATCAGGCGCAGGTCATCAACAATAGACATATTTCCAAGACCGTCGATTTTAAAAATGAGTTTCCTAATGTAGGTATTTGGAAAAACCCAGGCACTACTGGCAGTGCTCTCAAGCAACAATCGTCAAAATTCCCTTTGGCTATTCAGCCGAGTCCGCGAGTAAAAGAATCGCCGTTCGAGCATGCAGACTTCCACCCCATAAACGCCGTATTTCTGAGCCTGTCCTATCCCCTTTCCGTGCCCTTAGCCCGTGTGTCATTACGACCTATGTACGCTGATCGATCAGTTTTTTGTTAACCTGCCTGGGCAGACTGCACTCATTAAATCCTGAGAACATGGAGTAAGCCCCCATGTCTTCGAGAAGCAGATGTTGTCGAATTATTTCGCAAGTGTTGATAAACTCGCTCTTAATCCATCTTCCAGTGGTTTGTCAGACCACCATCGTGATCCTCGTTGCCCAAGTACAACTCGATTGCGTACAGGGTCATTGTTGCTGCTACGTTTGTCCAGCACCAGACGTTGCCTCCGGGGTCGCCTCCTCTCAGCGTCCACCCATCTGGTCCATCATTGGTTGAGAAGTGTTGTAGAAGCAAGCTTGTGTACATGGCAATGAGAATCGAAGGCGAGAAGTAGGTGATGATCCCAAGAAGCCAGTTGGCAGCGTCTGATTCTTCCAGAGTTGGTTCCTCCATAAGAGCCCTCGCTCCCGACTCGCGGACGGCAGGAATAATGCGGGTAGCGCAGTAAAAGACAAGAAGTCGGAAGGCGAGCGAAATGATGACAGAGGGCGTAATGGTCTGGAACGCCGCGTAGAGAAGACTGAGAGACGAGTGGACGGCATGGGGAAGAGAGCCGAGCACGTGGAGTAGAGTCGAGTAAGATGCCATGATAATCGGAGGCAAAGGTGGGAAATCGGGCTGTGAGGACTGGTGTTGATCCGCATCTGTGGACTCTGAGGGAAGGTAGTCGGTGAAGATCTGGTAGACGCAGAGGACGACGTATGCGAAAAGCAAGGACGACTCGACAGGGTTGCCGCGCCCGCTGCCAATTCCATACGCGCAGAGGAAAAAGGCTGAAGTCATCGTGACGCCGATCAAGATAGCATCAGAGTTGTCAATCCAAGGGAAGTGGGCGACACGCCAGAGGAAGTACACGGCACTCGCAAGCACGCTGCCAGAGATAACGAGCAGGATAATCTGTCAAAGCCGTCAGTAAGTCTCGCAAAGAGTCAGAGTATGTGATCCGAATCTATGGGACTACAGCAAGGCCAGGCTGTTCGTGACGAGCTTGGGTCTCACAGAGTCGGGAGCACAGGAGAGGGGTTCCACGTACAATCCAAGTATCGCTTCGTCCTCTGTTGACGAGCCATTTGGTGATCTGTCCGGCAGCTTGAATGACAAGCAGAGTGCAGAATCCCTCGAGAAGCTGGAAGACGGGACTTGAGTACCTCAACGTCTTATCCCAACCGCCCAAGGTTATAGTCTCAATAACACCACCCTCACCAAACACCCACTCGCCCCATGACGTAGACTTGGAAGTAGTAATGCCTTGCAAAGTCCGCTCCACCCAGTTGGTAGCTCCAGCGTCGACGGCGAAGCGGCTGAGGGCCCAGATCAAGAGTCCGGGAATGACAACCCACTGCGAGAGGCGAAGAATGACGGATATAGCCCAGCGAACGCGCGACTTTGCGGGGGTGACGACGGCGATGGTCGAGTAGATAAAGTAGAAGGCGGAGAGGGCGAGACTGTAGGCCAGTCCACTATCCCTACCGCCGACATCAAAGGCGACGGGTATGGAGAGGACTATGCTCAGCAGGAAGATGGCACTGGCGACGATTCGGAGGAACCACCACATCGGCGCGACGAGCTGGCTTGCTGGAGCCGCGCCGACAGAGGGGTTTGTTTCTGACGATGGCCGGCCACTTTGGACGGCGAGTCGGCGTGGTCACGACCGGTCGAGGGAAGCGACAAATAGAAGCGCTCGTAAGTGTCGTCGCAGACTTGGACAGGGCCGAGCTTAGTTTGACTGTGGAGAGCACGCGAGACGGTGAGGGGACCGTGGATGGTGTGTTTGTAGGGTATCGGGGCGAAGGTGGATCGTCTCGTCTCGCTGGTCGATGGCAGGAACTCGGCAGAGGTAAGGTATTCAGAGGCTATTGACGGATTCTGCAGTTGCGAAATATGGCATATAGGCAACTCGAAGCAGAGAAGGTGCGAAGTCGGTCCAAGTCCGGCGGTCGGGAAAGAAAGCTGGGTGATAGAAAGCAGATTGTGCCAACCTACCGGTAGATTTTTGGGCGAGGTGGCAGGAAGCGGACCGCAAGTGGGAGCTTGGGCTTATCGTTAAAGGCGGTTCTGCTCGCCTACCTTCTTATCTTCACGTGGCATTGCCTGCTAAAATGCCTCCACTGCCATCTCTACTTAGGTACCTTAAGGCTTAAGCACCTTAAGCCTCTGAGCGGTGAAGCTGCAGCTCGTAGGATGATGTGATAAGGTCCAAGCTTTTCCTTTCCATCTTCAATTCTCTATGTAATCCTGTTTGATTCTGTTTCACTCCGACCTTGGATGCAATAAAGAGAAGAACAACGGTGACGGCATTCCATTTCCATTTGCTGTGGCAGGCAGAAATGAGACATCATGATCTGCAAGACATAAGGCCACAGACTGCATGCAACACCTCACATGCACGAAGAGTCGAGCAGAGGAACTAACGGCCACCATAAGGTATGGAACACACTAAAAATCACAAGTAAATCAATCAGTGGATGTCTCCCAGGTCGCGTGCTCCTATCGTTCTCCCGAGCCTCGCTGGTTCGATCCCACTCAAGGTAGATTACACAATAAGGCAAATAGCTACGCAGGTCTAGTCCAGTCCATCCCATCCCATCTTTTTCCTAGCCTTGGAATCCCAGCAGCATCCGGCGAGAGCGCCCAGGGCCTGCCATAAGCCTGACAAGCTGACAAGCCCTTGGTAAAGTTGGTATTAACCGTATTATTGCAGCGGTTATTGCAGCGTTGCAGAGGCGCTCTGCAGCTAAACGGCCGGCCTCCACTTGGAGAGGTGCCGGTGCCATTCTAGCCCCCTCTGGTGCCATCCCTGCCCTGGTCCCTTTTGCTTCTGTCTCCATCTGCCAAATCTGAACTTGTGAGCTTGACTTATCTGCATGTGACAGCCAATCACGGGAACCCCTCCTTCGATACTAGTGTATGATATTTCTCTTCTTGAACCTTGCCCAACTGGTCACCACAATATGCAGAAGCTAATGCAAGTCACATGAACGTTTTGAAACCCATCTTCATCCTTCAGCACCAACTCAACATGTCTA